ATGGTTCACAGCATTATGATTATTACACATGTCATTCAAAGAAAAGCGGAACAAGCCTCCGCTGTCATAACCTTTTCCAACAAAAGTCTCATATTTAGATACGACACATTTATTGGACTCAAACACAAGTCTAAAATCTTCTCTACACAATAGAGAGCCGCTAACTAGATTCTTCTTTATTGAAGGGACATGCTGCACGTTCTTCAGCTGCACGGTCTTTCCCGAAGTAAACTTCAGATCGACCGTACCAACACCATGAACAGCCGCAAGCGACCCGTTTCCCATCAACAAGGAGGAACCTCTCCCGACCTGATAAGAAGAAAATAGAGAAATGTCAGCACATACATGAATATTAGCACCAGTGTCCACCCACCAATCAGGTGAATGAAAAACAGAGAGAACTGTAGGTAATATTTTACCGTACCCCGATGTTCCTCCGCCCTCGCTAATGATCATGTTGGCAGACTTCCTGTCTTTGCGCTCAGGACAGTCCTTGGCCCAATGCCCAGACTTGCCACACACAAAGCAGTCTCCATTTGCCTTTCCCTTGCTTTTCTTCTTAAAATTGGTTGCAGCCTTGGGTTTGACATCAGGCTTGACTTTCTTGTTGTTGTGGGATGCATGAGGGTTCTTCTTCTGTACCATATTGGCACTAGAACCTCCCTCAACCTTTTTGCCCCGGACGTCCTTTGCCCTCGCCTTCTCCTCAACACCCAAAGAGCCAATGAGATCAAGAACACTGAACTCTTGTCTCTTGTGCTTTAGAGAAGTGGCAAAGTCCGACCAAGAAGGTGGTAGTTTGGCAATAATGCCACCTGCCACAAACTTGTCCGGCAACTCACAGTTGTTGTTCTCAAGTTCCTTAGCCAGCATCTGAATCTCATGAGCTTGTTCAACTACAGAACGGTCATCGACCATCTTGTAGTCATAGAACTGCTCCATAACATACAGCTCACTGCCGGCGTCAGAAACTCCGAACTTGGCCTCAAGTGCATCCCACATGTCCTTCCCAGAAGGCATGTGCATGTACACGTCCACTATGTTGTCAGCGAGTACACTGATCAATGCTCCACGGAACAGGCAATCCGAAGCCTCGAACTTAGCCTCTTCCTCAGGAGAAAGAGGTGGTTCACTTCGTTTGCCCCGTGAAACATAGAAGCACTGCATCGCTGTCAACTACAATAGTGCACGTGCTTTCCATCTCTTATAGTTTGAACCATCAAAGGCATGTGGTTTCAGTGCAGCAGCAAAGCCAACTACCGAAAATGACTTATCAGGTTTTTGGATTGTTGGAAATTTGGTCATAATTCGGCATATTTTAATCCAAAATAACAAGATAATAAACATGATATTTACAATAGGATTTGATCCAGTGATAGTGTTGAATGTAATCAACATGAGCATGCTTAACGTTGAATAAGCATCAACAATCACATAATGACACAATGTTGACATTGCGATGAACATTAACAGTAAAACTTCTAATTGAAATAATGTAATAAGGTTATACCCCAAGAATGGTCCTCCGCTGGAGTTTGAGGCAGTATTGCCTCCGTTGGTGTTGACGGGAGTCTCCTTCTCCTTGTCTCCAGTGTTCGACATGTTGGTGAAGATGAAGTAGATGTTGACGAACAGTGAGTAGTCGCGCCTTGCGCTCCCCAAAAACCTGATCGCCCGCCCGTCTGTGCAAACGTCGCAGCAACGCGTGGTTTCGGAGGCCTACTCTCCCAACGCGTGTGCACACACTCGTCGGGATGGGATTACCGTAGCAACAACAGCTTTGGAAAATGGATGAAAGTGTGTCTTCTTTTTCTCGCGGGAGATCAAATCCATTCCCATTTTATAAGAGGAATGGAAGATGAAGAGTAAGAGTCATGGAATAGGAAGAGGAATGGAGCAACTAATTGTCATCAACTAGCCATGAACCATCCTCCACTACACAACCATCAACCAACAATCAATTAAGAGTAATTGATGTAAGTTACCAATGGAATAGGAAGAGGAATAGAGCAACTAAATGTCATCAACTAGCCATGAACCATCCTCCACTACACAACCATCAACCATCCATCAATTAGGACTAATTGACATAAGTTACCAATTCCTTAATCAAATGGATTAATTCTCAAAACTCTTCATCCCATTGATATCCCATAGAAGAATGAATTCACATGAATTCCTAGCATAATGAGCCTTGAAATTTATTTGATTTAATTGATTTAAATGGATTAATTACCCAATTAAATCTAACAATATGCACATATGCATGTGGTCAGAGGAGTAGGTGACAGTAGCAGCAGCAGCGTACAGTAATATTAACGAACATGCTTAAGGGCAACTCTAAGAGAGTAAGCAGCCATCTACTTACATGTTATTTTCATATCATTAAAGGTGATATAAAAATTAATCCGGTTGTGTTTAGGCACTTGATCAAATTTTTTTAAGTATACTGACACATATTTAAAGTATTAAACGTAAACTAATAATAAAATAAATTATAGATTCCGCCTGTAAACTACGAGACGAATTTATTACACCTAATTAATCCGTTATTAGCAAATGTTTACTGTAGCATCACATTGTCAAATCATGACGTAATTAGGCTCAAAAAATTCATCCCGCAATTTACATACAAACTGTACAATTGATTTTTTCGTCCATATTTCGATGTGATGTTTTTAGAAAAAAAATAAATCTAAACACGGCCCTAGTCATTATTTTTTTCTCAATGTGGGCAAGCCTTGGTTCTCTCTCCTAGGCTATCTACCAACCACTTATGCTCTTTCGATGTGGGCCCACCTTAATTATCTCTCACCAAATCTTTTAACCAATCACAGCTTCCATCGCAGGTACATTGTGTCCAGGCACCCGTCCGAAGCTGTCATCAATTTAGAGCGAGTACGATAGCAAGGCTACGAGTCAGCTGCGAGTTCACGCGGAGAAGATAATAGAAGATAGAGAAGGGAAGCAAAGTATAAATTTATAGCTAGCTGTAGTATACACTCTAATATATTATGTGTATAAAAGATGAGACTATATATTAGTGATGTAGTATATATTTATAGATAACTATTATGTGAATGAACTATTATATTAGCTATAGATGAATTGGAGATAATAGTTAGCTATACTATTAAACTTGCTTTTAGTCGACCGCTTCTCTCTCCACTCCCTCTTCCTTCCAGCAATGAAAAAGAGCTGATATTAGCAGCTAATAGTAGGTATAATTTCCTTATTACACTTGCCCTGCTTAACCAAAATTAGCAAACCAAAGTGACATACTAACTCTTAGTGCCATCATTTTTTTTCTTTGCATGATAGTACAAGCACTATAATTTCGTGTACTGTTTTTCCTCAACCTAAATTAGAACATGCCGTTTGTTAATTTTACTCGAGTTTATGGTAAGTGATATACGGATTTATACAAATATATGTGTACTTCTATTTGTTGTTAGCTTTGTCCAGGCTCAAGAAAAAATTTGGATCTGCCGCTGAGGTTGTTCTATTTTAGGACAGAAAGTATTAATGCAGATAATAAACAGTACTGCGTACCAGGGGTACTGCGTTCAATCAATAATTGAAGGATCAGATCGTGCGCTACCGTAAATCTAGGCCTTGTTTAGATCCGCATGATAATAATTAGCCCTCCGAAATCTTGTTATTTAGGAATATTTAATAAAGTCTATGTAAAAACTATTTGCAGAACCCTTGGGCTAATTCACAAGGTGAATGTAGCAAGGTGTATTAATCCACGATTAGCGGATGATTATTGTAGTATCAATGAAGTGAAACATAGATTAATTAGGTTTATTAGATTCATCAAGCAAATTAGACTAGAGGTTATGGAATGAGTTTTATCAGTAATCTACGTTTAATACTACTAAATAGCAATATTTTGGAGAGCTAATTATTAGAGCATCACCAACGGTCTACCTATATGATTCCCAAAACTAATTTTGAGCGATTTTAGTCCAAAAATCAGCTCCAACAGATCCCCTACTCTCCTACCCGAGTTTTGGAGTTCCCTTCCCCCGGTTCCTCACTCCATTTATATGCGGGCACGAAAGTCGCTCCCAATCCGCAATCCTGCCTCTCTCCTTTGTTCCCGCGCGTGGGAGATAGCGATATTTCTACGCGTGAAAGAAAAAAACGGAATTTTCTCTTGGTAGTTTTACAGACGGGCCCACTTTTAAGTTTGGGGGATTGAATTTAGGCTATCTGTTGGAGGGAGGAATTTTTTCACTTCCTATTTTCAGTTTAGGAAACCCAAAAATAAATTTTTAGGAGAAAATTATAGATAATCTGTTGATGATGCTATTAGCCCTCTGGATGCAAACAAGACCCTGGTACAATACTAAAACAGTACACTACATTAGTCCGACCCTGTAGCTACAGTACGGTACTGTTTATGCATGCATTCACAGAAGATCGATCCTGTGCATCAGTACTCCCTCCGTCCCATAAAAAACTAAGCTAGTAACATATTTTAGTACTACGAATCTGGACATATCTCTGTTTAGATTTACTCCATCCGTTCTAAAAAACACTACGAATTTAGACATACCTCTGTTTAGATTTACTCCCTCCGTTCCAAAATATAGGGCATACCTACTTTTTAAAGTGGTTTCATAATATAAGGTGTGCATGCATACATGTAATTAATTAGCACATTCTCTCCCCTAAATATTATTATTTTAAATCCTATACTCACATGATCATTAATTCTATTGGTTGCATGTATTGTATTAATTGGGGTGATTCATGACAACGATGAGATATTAATTATTTATTGGTTTTTATTGTATTAATTGGGGTGATTCATGACAACGATGAGATATTAATTATTTATTGGTTTTTAGATTAAAAGTGGTTGTGGCTTATATTTTAGAATGGATGAAGTAGTGTACTCGGAAATGTTATATCCGGTCGTAGCTTCTTTTTTTTTTTATATGGAGGGAGTAGTAAAAATTTAGGCAACCGTGAACCGTTCCCGACTTTTCCGTTGCGCGAGACGATGCAAAGGAGAACACGGCAGCTAGCAGCATCTCAACAAGAAGAAGGAAAAAACGCGCGGCTCGCGCCGCGGGGCATGAGGGTGCGGATGCGAATTAAGCCGCACTTGACCACGACGCCACGACCACTCTCCATCGATCGCGTCCTCCTTACATTACTCCGCCCGCTGCGGCGAGGATTCCCTCGATCCAGGGGGGGGGGGTGGTGAAGAGCTAGAGCTGGCGGCGGGTTGTTGAGGAGCGGCTGACTGAGGGGAGACCAGACCAATGGTTGGCGGCGGGGCGGGCGAGCCGCTGAGGAGGGCGTGGGGGTACCACCCCGAGTGCCCCGGATGCAGGGTGGACAGGAGGAAGGAGGAGAGGGAGGGGATCCCCTACACGGAGCTCTCCCTCATCTGGCTCGTCACCGTCTCCTCCAGTGAGTGTTCATCGGCCTCGCGCCGCCTCTCTTCCCTGACCTTGATCGACCTGTAGTAGTGCTTCGTCTTTTCCGCCGTCTGTTTCTTTTTTTTTCTTTTTTTTTTGGAAATTAGTGGAGGATAACGCCGTTCTTTCCTTCTTCTTCTTCTTTGTTTTGAAATTAGTGGATGATGGTATCGCTGTCGCCAATTCAATACTTTGAACTTTTTCTAAGTCGAACTAACATTTTCAATACAAAACAAATATATTATCAAATATATTTAATGTTAAATTTAATAAAACTAATTTTGATATCATAAATATTGCTAATTTTTTCTATAAAAAAGCTTTAATTAAGAAAAAAAGTCAAATAAATTATAATATAAAACGGAGGGAGTAGTACTATCGTAGTGTTATCATTGTTTCGGTTCGTACTTTGTAGTACAAGTAGTACACATGCATGTGTATATCATGGTGTAATGGGGATTCAATTAGTATGGGTTTGTAGGAGCATCTCGTTGCCCCGAGCTTTGGCATGCCACGATCATGCTCAACGCAGTAGATTTGCTCGGTGCTCTCGCGGGTATTCTCAGAATCTCCACTGTCAAATGCCACTGCCCACTGGGGATTGGTGCAAAACCGCAAACTTTGAAGAGCAAGTTTAATAGTATAGCTAACTACTGGCTACAAATCATCTATAGCCAATCTAATAGTCCATTCATACAATAGCATATACTACACTATTAATGTATAGCCCTACCTTCATACGCACATAACGTACTGAGTCCGTGCTAGTTGGCTACAAATCTGTAGCCCGTTTTCCTTCTCTCTCTTCTTCCCTCTCCTACACATATGCTTACAGTTGCTATTCTACTCGCTCTAAATTCAAAATCGACCAAGCGAACTTCTATTCGCACATCCCGAATTCGAAAGACTTTTGACAGAAGGATAGTGCACGTATGGTACCTGCACGTACACTTAGGAAATGTACTTCTCGTTTTCTCTAATCAAACACTGAGGCTTACTAAAATGTTTTCTCCATTTGCCTAATTTGCTCATCTTGTTAGGCCAGGAAACTGATTTAAAGAAGATTAACTGCACATCTGTGTCCTATATCTTGCGATCTATATCTTTATTGTTTATCAGGACCTGATATTATTTGTCCCTTTCTTTCTTAATTTGTCTTTCTCTGTTGCTCTTTGCAGCCCTGCCGATACAATCCCTGTTTCCCTTCTTGTATTTTATGGTGAGCAATTTTACTTGCTTTTTTTTAGAGGTGCAATATGATGACATTTTGTTTCATGAGAAGAGAAGAGTTACTAGCGTCACTATCGATTTTACATTTGGACTTAACAGCTGTGCTGGATCTGTAGTATGTAAAAGGTAAAAATAAAAATTAATATGCACTGTCACATTGTAATTATTTCATATATTGAGCCAAGGAAGAACCAAATAGTAAATACTATAAGAGCAATGCTACACGTACTAAATTTTTCTTACTAAACTTTTACTAACAATCATCTCAACCGTTTGATTTAAGTAGATGGAAGTTACAAAAATTCTAGGTGCACTCATAGCATGACACATCAGTGTTAGTAAGAAAAAGTTAGTACGTATAGCCTTTTCCATACTATAAACCTGGACACATATCACCTTCATTGTTGTAGTACCAAAAGAGCCATAATCTGACATCCTCTATTACAATGATCGGTTAAATATTTCTCCTTAAATATGCGTCTTAGATATTCTATCGACATTTTGTTTCCTTATTTGGTATAGATTTGTCGGAAACATAACTTTTGAACGTAAAACAGCTTTGCAAATGCTGAACTGTGTTCTAAATTAATTCTCTTTTATCAACATTGGAGTTTCTGTTTGCAGATAAGGGACCTGCATATTGCTAAACAAGAAGAAGATATTGGATTTTATGCTGGTTTTGTCGGTGAGTTTTCTCTGAAACATATTTCCTCTTTTGCGTCAATCTGAGTAAGCACTTAAAAGTAGCTTCTAAGGATGTATTATGAAAGTGATAGCCTCAGCAAGGCAGCCTTATCTAACAGGGTGAACTTGTGATATGTGAAGGCGCTTCATATATGTTTGGAAGAGCACTCTCCTCTGTGATATGGGGCATCGTGGCTGATAAGTACGGGAGGAAGCCGATTATTATAATTACCCTTATTTCAATGTAAGGATCTTCGTTGAATGAAACGTAGAATCCAATACTCTCATCTATAAGCTTTTCGTTGGATCTAATTTGTTAATGCACAGAGAATTTGAGCACATTTTCTAATCTATTGCAGAATTATTTTCAATACACTCTTTGGACTCAGCTCAAGTTATTGGATGGCATTAACCTCAAGAGGTTTGCTTGGTCTGATGTGTGGTATACTTGGCCCAATTAAGGTACCTGTGTCCACATGAGAATGCTTCACTTTTGTCTATTAAAACCTTCGACCATGTTCTTGCAGCATTATTTTCTAATTTCTGTGTTCCAGGCCTATGCTACAGAAGTGTGCCGAAAAGAACACGGTCACCTTGGACTATCCCTTGTAAGATCTTGGACCATTACTATTTCAAAATTTTCGTTGTCTCCCAACTTTGTTAGGCCCCCAATGTAATGTTCACTGGTTGATATTGCTGGCTAATCTGTCAGGTTTCTTCCTCACGTGGCATAGGCCTTATTGTGGGACCAGCTATTGGTGGTTATCTTGCACAGGTAATATTTTATTTTAATATTTGAAGAAATCATGATGTAATTAACTTGTAACTATGTCAAGATTATTGGCCCTTGTATTCCAATCATGACTCTTGCTAACCATAGTCGCAAATTTCACAAATTATAATACTTTAATGCGGTGTATCTAAAGTTTGGAGTTCTCTTGTCATATACATTAATAATTATACTCGTCATGCCTCAAAAATTTGTGAAGAACATGAAAACACACATGTTGATTATATTGCTGCATCGAGGATAAAGTGCGATAGTTTCATTTTTCTTTTATTGGCATGCAACTCTACTTATTTTGCTTGTGCCTTTCTGTTATACCAGCCTGCAGATAAATATCCAAGCATATTCTCTGAGAAGTCTATATTTGGGAGGTAGCATCTGCTTTCTAGATCCATCTTGTATTGGTTGTTTCTTACACTACTAATTTTTAACGTGCAATGTTTTAGGTTTCCGTATTTTCTCCCCTGCTTATGTATATCCCTCCTTGCCATTGTTGCTCTACTTGCTTCCTTCTGGCTCCCGGTGAGCATTTTTCTTATATCCCTATGATACAACATTTCTTTTAGCAAACATCATTATAATAACTGCTTTCATTAAATATTTGATAATTGATAACTCTGGTGAAATCCCATTTTGACACTGGAATCATAGTTCTTCATGATGATCCATAAATTCATTTAGAATCTGCTGCTCAGTTGCAATTGCAACATTAGTATTGATGTGTACCCTGAGAACTTTGCACAAAAACCTTAATGTCACTGCACAAAATTTGACATTTACGTCATGTTACAGGAAACTTTGCATAAGCACACTCAGGATATGGTTTTAGAGGATTCAATTTCTGTAGAAGAAGGTCTTTCTGGTCCAACTGCTGAAGAAAATAGTGCTGGATGTCTAAATTTATTCACAAACTGGCCACTGATGTCTGCTATCATTGCATACTGCATATTCTCTCTTCAGGATGTGGCTTATGCTGAGGTAATATTCTACAGTGTCATTGGAGTTGCCTTTTGTTATTATTTAGAATTTCATGCATCTTTTTTTTAATGTCATATTTGATTTTTGCACCACCCCTCCTTTTTCTGTTATTACTGGATTTCATTTGGGAAAACACAAATTGCAGGTATTTTCTCTATGGGCTGTCAGCGACAGGAAGTATGGTGGATTAAGCTTTTCTTCCCAAGATGTGGGTAGTGTCCTTGCATTCTCAGGTACAGTAAGCACAACAGGAAACCTCCCACTAATATGGAGTTTTGAATTTACAGGCAGACTTATAAGATTGTTCATCGAGATTTGAAATTTTGAACACCGTGGACATGTGGATGTGATAGGGATCTAAAGAAAGCACTAGCCCCATGACCCCACATGCTATGGCTAATGCATATGATAATGTAAAATTGTAAATTACCATAATAAATATATAATATGGATATAGATCTTTTCTTATTGTTAGGTCTAGTTTGATGTGATCAATTGCACTTTCTCAATTTGAAGTATTAATTCTTGCTAAAACCAAATCTTAATCTGAAGTATGGTATGAACTTGCTTAAAACTCAATTATTCGTATTCCATGCAATGTCTGGTATATTGAGTACTGACTTAACTTATTATCAGGTCTCTTCCTCCTGGTATTCCAAATTTTGGTTTACCCGTCAGTGGCAAAATCAGTAGAGCCCATCACGCTTGTCCGTATAGTGGCAGTAAGACTATCTCTCTTTTTTTGGGTCAGAATTTAGATCAGCTCAGTTCTACTGTAACGGTTCAACTCATATGATACTTCTGAATTGCAGATATTGACTATACCACTTCTTTCTAGCTATCCATTTATGGCCGGATTGTCAGGGTCCATTCTTCAATTGATAGTTAACTGTGCATCTTTTCTGAAGAATGCTTTTGCAGTGAGTGCAAACGTCTTGTGTTGTTTAGAATGGATACTCGTTTGGACAAGCGACTCGTTGTTTATTCATTTTTTTGAAACAATTACTTCAAGTGTGGTCCTGTTTATTGTATATCACTCTTTTATATTTCACCTCTCGACACATCCATATTAGTTTTGACAAAATTCAACTCATGCTCTTCTAAAATTTTTTCAGGTTACTACCATCACTGTATTCAACATCTTAATGAATGATGCTGTGGTAAGTTCTTCAAGTTCCAAATAATGTGTACCGGGTAGTTATATAAAAAATATATTCTATTTTTCGGTTATTATACGTGGTAATTTATAGTTTCTAATTTTGTTTTTCTAACCATGAAATACAAATAACAGGCTCAGGACGTTAGAGCTTCAGCCAACGGTGTTGCTGTAACTCTGATGTCCATCTTTAAAGCTATTGCTCCAGCAATTGCAGGAGCTATGTAAGTATTTATTATCTGTCTTTTTGCTCCCTGTTGCAATCACAAAGGGAAGATAAAATAATTTAGTAAAAGTACAACTTTCCCTTAAATGGTTTTAGAGCATACATGTAATATATAGGATAAATTCCTCATATGCCACTGAAATTTTATCCATTCCTTATTTGTTAGTCATGGTCTCAATGACATGTGGGTCCAAGTCCTAGCCTATATGTTAGTGGGACGTCAATAACAAATAATGGACCATTGAACCACGTGAAATTTTCAGTGTGAAATAAGGAATTTCCCTAGTTTTCTTGGACAAACAACAGTGTCCTTACAATTTCTTAGATAGTTATATTTCCTTTTGGTTAATCAGTTTAATTACAATGACAATGAAACACAATTTTAGTTTTTTGTTTGTTGTGATCAACTCCCAATATTTTTGTTTTGCCACATATTATTAGTAGTATTAATTCATCAAGATATACAGCCAGGATTCACACTTTGCAAACTGTGGGTACCAGCTTTTTATTATACATATATGTTTTTTCAGGAGAAATACCGCATCGTAATGCTAATTACTCTTTTCCCTTATAGATTTGCATGGGCTCAAAGGCGTCAGACAGCTTCATTTCTCCCAGGTATTACATGCATGGTATATTACTAGTGAATTAACACGAAGATACAACTTTGCTATATCCTATCCCTGTTAATACCAATGCAATTAGCACTTTATCAGAATTTTCTTAAAATAATATATGGGAGAGCCACCTTATCATGTCAATAAGTTGGAAAGTTATGATACCAGAATAGAAAGAATGCAGTTCTGAATGTTGGCAATGAACTCGCCAGATATCAACACCTTTAGAACAGATAATAACTATGAATGTGGTACATATATAAGAATAAGTTATCTACCATTAGTTCTTTTAATTATTTTTGCCCCTCTCAATGCCATGAATATCTGAATTGAATGATCAAACTAGAGAAATTTAAGCTTGCGTGTCTGTTTTAAGAATAACTAGATATTGTTTGTCTAAAACTAATGGGATAGAGTCTCTTAATGTTAGGTACCAGCGAAGTTCATATCTTCATTTTTGAAGTAAGATCGTAAATACAGTAGGTTCTTAGTTAAAAATTTAGAGTAAGATGTCTCATCTCTGTCTTTTGCGATGTTCATTTGATATTTAAAATAGGCAACATCGTAGACTAAAAAAAGAGTAAATTTCACAAAACTACAAGTACTTTGGCTAAATTATTACAAAACTACATATTTAAGGTGAAATATCGAAAAACTACAGATTTAGTAACAGAGTTATCACAAAACTACAGGATTAAGATAAATTTAATCACAAAACTTTAACATCATAACTCAAACATAGCATTAGTGCTTAAGGATTTAAACTCTAAAATCTGTAGTTTTGTGATAGTTTTATTATTAAATTTGTAGTTTGCGATATTTAGCCTTAAACCTGTAGTTTTGTGATACATTAACTTAAATTTGTAGTTTTGTAATAATTTAATCAAAGTATCTATAGTTTTATGAAATTTACTCAGAAAAAAAATCCAGAAATATGCTGATTTCAGGATCACTATTCACTATTAAGCCCGACCTTAGGATCTCTTCTGATACCCCCCTTAATTTCAACTAAGCTTATGTATGCGTTTGAAAAGATTAAGCCAGGTGGGTTGGCTTGTTGAAATGCAACTACGAAGAGGATTTCCTAAGCATTGAAACGTTGTTGTATCCCATTGATTCGTTGTAAAGCTCTAATTCTGTTGGCACCTGCTCTCTGTTTTTGCAGGCGACCACCTGGTATTCTTCATGCTGAACGTCTTCACAGTCATCGGTCTTGTGAGCACTTTCAGGCCGTTTTACGCTAGAAGAAGCACGAAGCACGATCCCATTACTACTTAGCACTAACCATTCTACTCAGGACCTGAGGTCTGATGTAGACCCCCATTTTTATAACAGGAATCACTCGTGTTAATAGTACCATTTCCCTGGATCAAGTAGTCTGGTACTCACGATTACATTGCCGAAATATCAAGTGCGCATACAAAGATGGTCTAGCGCGAATTATTACATCATAGGCCCGCAGGCAGTCTTAGAACATAGGACCAAACGGTCTACAATACATGATGTAACAGAAATAGATTAGGCAGCGGAATATAGGCAGCGGCGACACTATTGCCATAGGCAACGACCGTAAATAAGACCTACGAAGCGTCGTTATCCTCCGCATCCTCCTGAAGATAAGCATAGGGATCCTCCTCGACTTCATTGCCATCCACTGATTAAATTTTGCAATAGCAAGAGTGAGTACCAACCGTACTCAGCAAGTCACCATAACAACAATGCATATGATAGTGGTATTCAAAGTATGGCCATTGGTTTATTTGCATAAAGCTAGTTTAACCATTCTTTTCACAAGCCTATTATCTAGCATAGACTAGTCCAGTTTTAATTCCAGTATTTATTACACAGCAGCGGTTATGTTCACTATCCATTGTCTTCCCAAAGATGGCTTCCCGTTACTGGCCGTAATGGTTTTCTGGGGTTTACTCCTTCTCGTCTCTCGAGAAGTTGATCCGCCAGTACAAAATCATCATGCATATCCCATCCCAATCAATTTAAGAATTTAGAGTCTAGCCAAGTGTAATACATGTCCCGGTGCTCATTATCCGTGAGCACGGCTATTCGAATATATTTGGTTTACTCACACTGCAGTGGATGTACACTTTACCCTACTCCGCGACTTGCCCAACACATGAGCCTACGTCCCAACGAATGAGACTTGCCACGGCAAAGCCTTTCAATAACCTCACGTTGGCAGTACTCGCTCCATGAATTTACATCTTCATGCACTCTAGGCATCATAAGTTTCTAGTAGTGAGAGGAGTTCTGGCGCTCCCGGGAAGGGAAGACTCACACATGCATTAAGTTTTAGTTAAGTTAAGTTTACACATGGTAGTCCTACCGATGGCGACACCACTGTAAGCACTCGCCCCTCGCGGTCCCATCAATGGCTGCCCCACCGTAGGCCCTGCCCCCACACACATCAAGAATAACCACTATGCAGGGATACTGCCTCCGCTCGGCTATGTACTCCGCTAGGTCTATACACATGCGAGAAGTACGGTTGTATGAGGGTCGTTTCATGCTTAACTTCATGGCTCAGTCCTTAACTGACCAGGGACGGCACTAGCCTTTTCCGGACACCACCCAAGTACCCCAGCCGCCCTAGTCGAAAACAGTGTTTAATTTTATTTCTCCTTTCACAATTCATGTCATCCTTGTCATGGCAATGTGGCGCTCATGTCTCCACATGCCGCATCTCAACTACCTTCCCTAAGGTAGTTGCCCAAGCATGTAGCACTTGATAAATATGAGAATGCATGATTCTAATTAGCAGGACTAAGCATTTGTCAATATTGACTAAGTACACACGATAACAGGGTTTACAAGGGTCATACAGATAATCAATATCAAGGCATGGCATATATAACAAGTGGGGCATTCATATTCGTATATATAGCATGCAATTTTATTTAAATCAACATAATTTTCGCAATAGTTTCAACATGCTCAAAGATTAGTGATGACTTGCCTTGATCGTAGTCTTGCTGTCCCTGCTCCTCAATCGACTCAACAATTCCCTCGGAATCTAAATTTACGTGCGAAAGATCGGATTTGAATTCAATTAGGATTCAAATAAATTCACCAAAATTCAAACAGTACAAAGCATATTGAGAAAATGGTATCATTAGATAGACCTTGATTTTAGATGAATTTAGGTTCAAGTTTCATTCAATTCCGAGTTAAAATGAGTGAGTTATGAGGGTTTAAAGATTCAAACTTGAATTAATTCGGAAAATTGTGAAAAACTACTGTTCCTAATGATTTATTTTTTTGTCCGAAACATTATCCAACACCCACAGTGGCTGACATGTGGGCCATCCTCCTATTTCATTTCTGGTTTTTTTATTTTTTTTAAAGGAAATCCTGCTGTGTCATTGACAGGTGGGTCCGGCCCCCTGTTGGTGAGGTCAAGCCGGACCTTTAACCTTTGGTGGGACCCTCATGTCATTGAGACATTTACTTAAAAACCAATTTAATTAGATTTCTAAGCATCCGGGCCTACATGTCATAGGTTCACAATAATATCATTAGTTTGAGGATTACTGTACACTAATGAAGTGGGGTCCACATGTCATAATCTCTCCCTCTCTCGTTCTTTTCTTTCTCCCCGTCGTCTTCTTCCTTCCGCTCGCGACGGAGCAGAGGAGCGGCGCGTGATGATGCGACGGCCCGAGCCGGAACGGCTCGGCGCACGGTGGGGCGAGCGGTGGCGCATCACCAGAGACCCGCCGCCGGCGGCGGCGAAGCGCGGCGATCGTCCGGCGCGCGGCGCGACGGCGGTCGACGGCGCCGAGATCCCAAAATCGGCGGCGGCACAATGAGGACCAATGTGAGCGTAACCAACGACGATTCAACCATCTAGGGTCCACATGGAGCATATAGAAGCAAAAATCTAGCCTAGGTTGTATTGGAACGAGGTCCCTCCATGATGAGCTCGGCCATGGCGCGGTGGCGGCCGGAGTCGGCACGGTTACGGCGGCGCACACCCCAAATCGAGGGGGCCGCTGGCTTCTAGGTGTCCAGGCAATACTACAGGCGCGAGGGCTTACGACGAAGTGGCGGAACGGCGGAGTTTGACGGCGCGCGGCGTGGTGCAACCGAAACAGGGGCAGACGACGGTCGGCGACGTTTGCAGGTGTTTGACGCTCGTCCTCCCTCGCGTAGCGGCTCCTGGCTCCTTCCAACAGTAGCAACAGCAACGCGGGCACCTCCTCAACACACCCTGCCACCCACACCGGCCGAGAGGCCCTGCGGCGGCGGCGCGGCCCCCGCCCACCAGGTGTTCGACACCCGGCGGCGGCGTGTTTTCTTTCCTCTGAGATGGAGCAAGAGCTTTGGGGAAGAGAGAAACAGATGAGGGGTTGATCTTGGATAAAGTCGAGCTAAAGGCGAGCTTATAACAGCGAGAGGAAGGGCGATTTCTTAATGGATAAGGATAATCAATGACTCGGCTTTGGTTCGATCTCACCCAGGTTCGGTTCAATGTGCAGGCGTGGCATGATTGCCTACGCGGTAGTATGCAGGAGAGGTATCGCTAGCTGGACAAAGGGGCACCGCATTACCCAGCGGTCTCAACCGGGGGCGACAAGATGGCGACGCGACGGCGACAAGAGCGACGACGACGGATAGAGATAACGGCTTGGATAGGGGCGCAGGGCTATGCCCTAGGGTGACGCGGGGTCGTCGTGGCGGCCGTTATCACTCCATCCCGAGGGCGACGCGCGAGGGGATGGGATGACGCGGGCACCCGTGGCGGCGCAGCTTTGGCGCGGGCTTTTGGCGGCTCGGTCGGCTGCGGGCCCACGCGACGTGGCGCGGCGCGGTGCGGCGCACGGGCACGCCTAATGCGGCGCACGGGTCGGGACAGCGGGCGCGCGGCAAGGCAGCGGTTGGAGGGGGCGGCGTCGAGCGTTCAGACGGGTTAGGCACAGATCGAACACCTGGCGCGCAATGAACAGTAGCAACCCGAGAAAAATCACAATTAGGGTTTTCTAATGACAATTTTTATGGAATTTTTGTTTAGCCCACTACCCCTATTTCCATTATAGATCTACCCACATCATATACTTCTAATTTCATGATTTATTGAACCCAAGAATTAAGGATTAATATTATTACCCTTGACCTATATTCCTTTATTCTCAACTTTATAGCTTCTAACCTTTGTTTTTCTATAACCTCATATTTGATTTATTACACCCTATGTCAATAACTAATATTCTATTTGTATTATGTTTTTCTTATTTCGCCATATTCTGGATTTTATTATTTGACTTCCATCTCAACTTACTTATCTTATATTATTTAATTTAAACAATATATTTGCAATAGAGAAACGAATAACACCAACATGATGCAAAAGTTTTAAAAAGTTCGAAATTTTAGTGATTTTTATTGCCTATACCTCCGTAGTAAAGTGTATATTTTTCTGTTTGCCACACAACCATTCTGATGTACTGCAAAATATGCCTCGATTTTTTTTTAGATCAGTACTTCGATTTGGTACGATGATCTTGTGCTGTTGTACACATCAAACTTAGCCTGAAGGCTTGTCTTGTATCTGTATCTTGTATTTGGACGCTACGGCTCAAACTGCCATGTGCCATGACTGTCCATTCAGCTCTGAAATTCCATCGACTGTGAGAGTTTTTACACTGTCCTTAACACTGTAATCCATCAATTTGTTTGGTGGTCCTTAATCTGTAACGGCTTTTGCTTGGCGCGATCTTTTGTGGGCTATGTGCATCTTGTACAGTGCTAAATGTATCTAGCGTTGCACTTCCTCTGGTTACAAAATATTCACTACTCCCCCCGTTTCACAATGTAAGACTTTATAGCATTGTCCACATACATCTAGATGTTAGATGTTAGTGAATGTAAACACGTACATATGTCTAGATTCATTAACATCTAAATGAATGTGGGCAATGCTAGAAAGTCTTATATTATGAAACGGAGGAAGTAGTAATATTTTGAACGAGATTTAGCAAAACTCTTGAAACTTTTAGAAAGACCTATTTTAAAGTGAAGGGTGTTATTTGGATTTTTGTGATAGTTTGGAGTGTAAAATGGAGTTACTGTACATGTTAGATTTTATAAACTTATTATTCAAATATAAAATTGATGGTCATTTTTAAAAGCTTAATCGAATTTCATCCTAATAAACATTAAATATTAACAACCAAGGAAGTAGCAGCATCTTCGTGACCCCTGAGGATGTTTTCAGACAGGATGGTTTTAATGAAATCCATGGATTTCATTTTAAGAAGAAAATATCGGGCAGGGCGTCCGTATTCAATTTTCTTTTTACTGCAATAACCATTACAAATTCAAACCATTTTGTAATCATCAAAAAACAAAAATTACTTATAGATGTAAAAAAATAGTCATGAAAACAACCCATTCGGATTAAGCCCAATATTACACCTGTGCTCGTATTTATAGCTAATTATTTTTTTAGTGGTAGGCAACATATATGTACACAGCGAGACGTCTACAGTGACTTCGTTGATCTCAAGATAAGCATGCCTAGTATTTTGGAGATGTTCATAGACTCATAGGGTAGGATATATTTGCGCGTTCATAGAATGAGTGTGCGCGTTACGAGCATATGCATTTATATCGTGTTCTGTTTTTTTTACATGAAAACAGGGGTAGAGAGTACGCATAGCAGTTTGCTCTCAATGTCGTCCGGTCTTACCCTTGCGGTCGTTTTTTCCATAAATTTTCCTCCCCCGCTTCCCTTCTCTTCCCTTTTTTCGCTCCTCCTCCACTCGCGCTCCGCCTCTCTCTCTCTCTCCATCGATCCAAGCCCCCCCCCCCCCCCCCCCAGATCCCCCTCGCCGCCTCGCCACCGCGTCGGCCATGGCGGACCAGCTCACCGACGACCAGATCGCCGAGTTCAAGGAGGCCTTCAGCCTCTTCGACAAGGACGGCGACGGTATCTCCTGCTCCCTCCTTCCCTCTCTCTCTGTACCTTCTGTTTTTGAACTCTGTTATGCTCTGCGTGATCCGGTAGCGCGTGCGTGTGCGCTGATGCGATGGCGGTGGAGTGGAGTCGGTTTCGCGGCCTCGCGGGTGCGCGAGAAGGTGGGGATCCGGTCGCCGGGGGGGGGGGGGGGGGGTGGGTTGGGGGCGGGGTCCGAGCGGTAGTGTGTCGGGGGGTTTCGGAGATGTAGATCTCGCCCGATGCTATTGCCGGAAATTGTTGCGGCGGGGGTCTCAGAGTTTGCTGGTTGAGCAACGCCTCGAGGAGGAGGGGTGGAGATAGCGCAGGTGATAGTAGATCGGCTGGTTGTGGAATGGCTGTTTGGTTATCCCATGAGAGTTTGTTAATCAGAGTGATCGAGTTGAATTGCGAAATTCGCGTTTTAAATACCCAAGTTCTGTTGGAAATGGCGTCGAGTCGCCCGGTAAGTTGGTGCGGCTGTGGCTATAATGGGCATAGACGCACAGTGTGCCCACGGATTGATGGTAGCGAGGCGCGAGGCGCGAGGCGTGGTGAATTTCATCCCTGTTGCATGGTTGCTGGGGCTGCTGACTGGACCATGGTGTGTTGCTATCTGCTAGTCACTGCTTGCTAGGCATGGCTATGGCAGCATCCAAGCTGTGGCTTCACCCGTGCCTCCTGCCGCCAAGCAGAAGGTGCAACCACTGCTCTGGTCGAGCTGGCAGTCTGGCTCTGATGTGGCATGGTGAGACCACTCGCCATGTACCTGTGTTGGGCAGGGCCTAAGATGCAAAGTGCTGCAGGTGTTAGGTCTATAGGAAGAAAGCATATACGGGGTTTTTGAGCTAGCACATTAGGTAGTGCATGCATTGGCGTGCTGTTCATAAAGGGACTCTACTACCGTTTTAGATTTTATTTGGGCTTCCTTTTCTTCTCAATGGATGTCCATGGGCATAAGGGTAATGCTGTAGCATGAATGCATGATTAATGATTAAATTTTATTTTGCAGAATTATTAAGATAGATGGGTACACCAGGTTTCAGACTTGTAATGTCCTTTTTTTTTTTCTGAAAGTCACATGGGAGTTGGTATTTATTTTCTCCTATCATGCTATATATGTATCACCAGTAAGAATTTTTATGATAGCATAGAGAGTGCATGTGATGTATGGAATAGTTAATCATCTCACTATTTAGTAGTATTTGTTAAACGAGTGGAGCCAAGGTGACATTGTGCACGAAGTAAAAACAGCTTATAGCTGTCAGACAAAACTTAGTTGCTTGCTGCAGTTTCTTATATTTCCCAGCAAAGGTTGGGACTATGCAAAGCAGCGCGAAGGTCCTAGTGGTTATGACACCTCATACGTTCGGTTATCCACAGTGATTTTATCTAATAATCAGTATGTATAGGTTTTAAAAGTGATTCCAGATGTCCTGTAAGTTATAGGGGTGCCACTGTGCCAGTATGTCTCTAATATTGTTTTAAACAGGCTAGTTCTTCACACTGTAGGTAAGGTTGATTACGGGTGTTTTAGTTTATCTCATGTTCCTATTGTGGGAAGAGAAGCTAACACATGTTCATGTTCTTGAGTAAATCCTAGTTTAAACTTGCACATGTGTTTGTTTTTCTTTTTTTGATTCCATATTTCCATGCGTTGAGATAAAGGCATAGAGTAAGGGATAATGTGAGAACAATTGTGGGCCCAGCCATTACTTTGTTTTTGGCCTTTTGCGCAATTGGAGCTTATGCTAATTTCATGAATATATTCTAGTTCACTTGCATGGCAAATCTATAAAGACTGTACATCACTACATCCTTATGTTGTACAGGTAGTTAGGCCTTAAGACAAACTCATATTGTACTAGAATCAGATGTGCAAATGTCACTTCATGATGCATGTTTGTTCCAAATATTATCCCATCACTGGCAAGATGCCAGGATTCATGTAGTGTTATGTAGCACGATAACTCCCTTCTTTTTTTTTTTGACAATGTGCACGATTACTATGAGAATTCACAAACCCTAAATTCACGATTACTAACCCTAAATTCTTATTTATTGTTCGGCTTCATATCCATCTTTGTTTTACTAGATACACTTTTATGTTATTTATAAAAACTTGGTTCAATTACATGAGCAGCTGAGCGCCACTTATGTCATGCCAAAAATAATGTTCAAATCTAGAGATGATGGGTCTCTTCAAAAAAAAAATCTAGAGATGATGGGATTATTATTTTGTTTAAATTTTATGAAAGCTCTGTAGGAAATCAATATTTGTAATTACTTGCCTGTTATATACCTACTTTAACAAAAAGGGACCTTGTATGCGGAGTTGGGGACTGCTTTGATTTGATAAACACACCATTATTATCTTTCTCATTAAACTGTACATTAATTATAAGTGCCCTAGAGGTAAATTGTTTGAACTGTATTTGTGTCTTCTTTCACATCTTTACATGACATTAATAATTTTTTTTACTGAATCATTCATTAATTATTATTTACTGAAGTGCCCTAGAGGTAAATTGTTTGAACTGTATTTGTGTCTTCTTTCACCATCTTTATCTTGATGACATGTAATATGTAACTAACTGAGTAATGGCTGCGTTCTGGACAGGCTGCATCACCACCAAGGAGCTTGGAACTGTGATGCGCTCATTAGGGCAGAACCCCACTGAGGCTGAGCTTCAGGACATGATCAACGAGGTGGATGCTGATGGAAATGGAACGATTGACTTTCCTGAGTTTCTCAACCTGATGGCACGCAAGATGAAGGACACTGATTCTGAGGAGGAGCTCAAGGAAGCCTTCCGTGTATTTGACAAGGACCAGAATGGCTTCATCTCGGCAGCTGAACTCCGTCATGTCATGACCAACCTTGGTGAGAAGCTTACAGACGAGGAGGTGGACGAGATGATCCGTGAGGCTGATGTCGATGGTGATGGTCAGATCAATTACGAAGAATTCGTGAAGGTGATGATGGCCAAGTGAGATGCCATCTAGTTACTCTCCTGGTGGTAGTAACCAGTGTAGCTTTGAAAACTGACAGCATTTGGTTATGGGAATGAACATGTTTGTTGTTTGTTTTCTTCTCAGGAATGTTTGGTAATTTCGTTTGGATTTTGTTTGCAGTTGTACAACATTTGTGTTATCTTGGTACAATGATGCTTTCACCCTCCAAATTGTCATAATCTTCTTGTAGAGCATGGTGCTGAAGTTCAGGAACTATGAAACCCTTTGTTTGCGTATGCTGTTGATTTTTTTTTCTTTCTTTTTCTCAATGTGCAGGATTACTGATTACACAATGTTCTGCGACAACAATAATCTACGTACTTTTTTTATTGCTGATATTAATCAGAGTTTCCAACGGGAGGAGAGATTTGTTTTTGTTTCAAAAGCTAACTGCAGATCTTATGATTGAGTACCAGGTCGAAAGTGTGAGTTTGCCCTTTATTATCCTCTCTTTTCCCCCGTTCTTGCCTTTTACTTTTTGAAAGGTTCATCGATAGCAATTTTATTTGTCTTGTCAATTTAGTACGATCATGTACCTGTTGCAGCCTTTGAAATATAAAACTCCATCATCTGTATTAAATTCAAAAAGGAGAGGCAACTTAAGAAATCCATTATTATTGGGATGTCTAGTTTTGTGAGAACATATGGGGGAAAACGACAGTTAAAGATTTTTCTCTGATCTTTCAAAATTGGATTATATGGATTTTTGTTTGTCCAGAAGAGGGGGAGAAATCTAAAAAAGAGGATTATTCAACGAGGAATTCGTCAAAAATTGCAGTTCTGTCCTGTCGACTGGATCTTTCTGTGTGGTTCTGAGCCTATTGCTTTTTCAACAAAACAGATAACTTTTCAATGGTCAAACGTTTCTGATTCCTTTAATCTTAAACAAATCAGAGGAAATAAATGCCAGATTATTATTCAAATCAGGTAAGATTATTATTCACGCAAAGGTCTGGCTTCCACCGTGCCAAACTTCTTTTTTGACAAAACAAAAGAGCCAAAAAAGTTACTATATTAGTTTGTTTACAGTAAGTGGTTCATACTTCATACTACATTTATATTACCCATTTTTCTCTAATTCACTTACGCGCTAAAAACAGTTCTCTCTTTTAGTTTGTAATAATGTAGTGTTTATTCACACACACAAACACAAAAATCGACCCTCGGTCTATTGAGAATCCGCGAGTACAATTGCTTTCTTGCACAAATTTTTGTCAATTTTGGGTACACATTTTTGTCAATTTTGAGCCTTCACTAAATACAAATTCGACTAGTGGATTTTTTTCCAACCGATTATTCCTTTGAATGATTATGCCTAATGGGCATTTATCCTCCCCTCTCTGCAGAAGGAAAGGGAACAAGAGGAAGAGAGCATCTTAGCAGCAAAAGTAGATGCCCATTAGGCCATTAGCATATCATTTCATGATGACCCTTTCAGAGAAAAAAAAATTACACAATTGATCAAACTTTTACAGCTTTGACACTGCCAGCACATCCACCTAGCTAGATTAAGTTCAGACATCTCCATCTTTTTCTTTCCCTCTCTCTTTGTGCCACTCTATATCAGAAGATGGACAGAGATTCAGATCAAGAACTGCATCAACCTGTGCAGCTTTTACACAGTGTGCATGATGAATTCAGCTCCAGGGTTCCAGCATAATGGTCATCTCATGGCTAAAGCAAAGAATCCCATCTACTACTGTTCAACTGTAGCTCCCATGCTGCATGTGCCAGCCTTCGTTAATTTTACCTGAATTCCATGAGCTACCCGTGCCACAATCTCTCAACTCGGCTTCCTATCTAACCTGCCCTAGTTGGCTTCTACTAGTCTACAAGATACCATATCATATAGCCCTACTTTGTTAAATTTCATTAGGATTTTTCAGACTTACGTGGAAGATAGATACTTACTACAAAGACAATGGAATGGATCACCATGAGTTAGAAGTCAAAATCCTGAGGCAATGAGACCTGAAAAATTCAGACATTAGGTATTTTCTCCCCCTTTTACACCCCATCCCTCGAAAGCGACCCATATTTGCTTGAGGAAGAAGAGATATGCACACAACAAAATTGGCACGGATTAATCTTACAATTGTTGTGACAATAGCATTCATGTTATGTAGGGAACTAAAAATAAATAAACACTAGCTAAGCTAAAACAGTGAACCCACCGAATCAATCTTTTTCGGAGGAATGTCACTTTTTGAACGGTCCAGATCGAGAAATCCTGATCGTTTCCTCAAGAGTTATATGATCATTCTCTACAATTGGCATGCCTCTAAAATCAGTAACAAGAAACAAATCATGATTTGAAAAATATCAGTTTATGTCAAAAATGTTTTTATTTGAATTTGATAGACGAGGATTTGAACCCGGGTAGTTGGGTTGTGCTTGTGCACCGCTCCCCTCTGACCCGGAGTGCTCCGTGCACTCGATCTTGCTCGTCCGCACCCTCCTCCTCCTCACGTGCAGGCGCGACGCGGCCCACGACACGACGCGCCTGTACAGCGTCCCGGCGAGGCCGTGCGCGTCGCCGCGGCGGCGGGGGCGGCGCGGCCAGCCGGCGCTCTCGAGGGCGGCGTGGAGCTCGGCGACCACGTCGGACATCGCCGGCCGGCGTTCCACGGCCTCCGACACGCAGCGCGCGGCCACGGCGAGCACGCGCGCCACCGCGCGCTCCTCCCTGGCGCGGCGCGGCGCGGGAAGCCTCCCGTCGAACACCTCGCGCGCCATGCCGGCGGCGACCAGCGGCACGGCCCAGGCGACGATGGACGACGGCGAGGCGCTCACGTCCATCACCTTGCGGCCGCTGACGAGCTCGAGGAGGACGACGCCGAAGCTGAACACGTCGCTCTCCGGGCCGAGGCGGCTGGGCTCCGTGTAGCACGGGTCCAGGTACCCGATCGTGCCCGCCGGCGCAGGCCCCGCCGCCGCCGCGGTGGCGCCGCCTCCTCCGGGGGCGGCGGGGACCTTGACCGCGAGGCTGAAGTCGGCGAGGCGGGCGCGGCCGTCGCGCCCCAGCAGGATGTTCGCCGACTTGACGTCGCGGTGGATCACGCGTGGCTCGCCGCCGTGCAGCGCCCGCACGGCCTCCGCCACGTCGAGCGCGATCTCCACGCGCCGCGGCCACGGCGGCGGCGGCTGCCTCGCCGTCGTCGGCCGGTGCAGCAGGTCGTGCAGCGACCCGTCGGCCATGTACTCCATCACGAGCATCCTCTCCCCCTCCCTCCTCCCCGCCGCCACGCCGACGAGGTTGACCACCCCCGCCACCTCCCCCGCCGCCGCGAGCACGGCGATCTCGTTCGCGAGCTTCGCCTCCCCCAGCGCGTGCGACGCCCTCTTGACGGCGACGACCACCACCTTCTTCTTCCTCACCCTCCCGCCACCGCCATCGCCGCCGCACACAAGCCTGGCCACGTAGACGTTGCCATGGCTGCCCTTCCCGACGAGGTTCTTGGCTGCGAATCCCCCCGTCGCCGCCTCCACCTCCTCGAACGAGAACTCCCTCATGGCCGCCGCCGCCGCCGCCGCCGCCGGCGAGCAAGCTCTACTCTACACCTCGATCTCCTCTTGGTGCAATGCAAATGGTGTGGTGCAATGGCGAAATGGAAGGAGGAGAGAAGAGCTTGGAGCTTAGGAGAAATGGAGAGCAATGTAAAGCAGCAGCAGCAGCAAGTAGGCAAAGGAATAAAGAGCAAAAAAGGAGGAGGCCAAGAAGAAAGGCAAATGCATGGATGGATCATCAAAGGTAAAGTTGGTGGCTGCAATTTTCAGAGAGAGAAAGGTAAAAGAAACTCCAAACTCTAGCTAGAGAGAGAGAGTTAAAGAAGAAACTCCAAATTCTAGAGAGAGAAAGGTAGGCAGATAAAATTTAAAAAAAAAGAAATTTGGATAGGTATATATAGAGAGAGAAACAAAGAGGTAGTAGTACTAGTAGTATATAGTATTATGATTATGTTTTTGCTTGGTCTCCTAAAAGAAGAAAATTTGTCTTCTCAAGGAGAAAGAAAGGTACTGTAGAAAAACAAAGTTAAATCAACAGAAGCAAAAAATGGCTTACCTGCTGTCTCTTTCTTTCTTCCTCAATCTCTATTAGTATTATATAATTATAATTACTGTTGTTTATACTCTTAAGCAGAGAAAAAGGCGGCATATGCACACACACGGTGCATTGGGGTTCGGATCGATCGTTGGAGTGGTTGGAGAGAGAGAGAGAGAGAGAGAGAGAGAGAGAGAGAGAGATGCAAGATACTCACGGCAAGCGAACAAATCGGCAACAGAGAATGTCGATTTGTCAGGAGGGGAATGTGGAGTGGTGGACTGGTTGGGGCTGGGGTTTCATCCGTTCCTGTGGACGCGTCCGTCGTCCTTGCCTGCTTGGACGCCAACACCTGGCCGGACTGGGGTAGGATTAGTTCTTTTTTTTTTTTCGTTCGGTAGTACTAGTTCCCAACTCATCCTCCCCATTTTCTACGCGCACGCTTTTCAAACTGCTAAATTGTGTGTTTTTTGCAAAAAATTTCTATACGAAAGATGCTTAAAAAATCATATTAATTTATTTTTTTTAAAAAAAATAGCTAAAACTTAATTAATCACGCACTAAAACGTTGCTTCGTTTTATGTGCCAAGGAGTGAGGGTTGCCCCGAACAGAGTTGTGTACAATGTGGTTGCTGTGATATGCTGGGTTTTCAATAGTGGAAATTTAAAATGAGACTTAATAAATTGTCACAAAATTTCTTTAAAAAGTTTAAATATAACTACGGTATATTTATAGCGTAATTATACTGTAGCTATAATGTAGTTACAATTAATCCCTTCACATGCGTAGATCCCTCATGCACAAATCTCGATACGATTTGATGGTTACAATTCTTTTTTTTTTTGGGAGGGGGATTGGGGGAAAATCGTCGTTTTCTTTAGCAATTCTCATATAAATTTGGGCTACAAAGATTGTAATGTGAAGGTATTTGCCTATTTGAGATAATGATAGAGACCAACGGCAAATCTCTACCCTTGTTGAGTTCTATCGAAAGTTACTGCAACAAAATATGTGGGTAACATTCGTGGCCACAAGCATTTTGATCCTCGTGGATGAAATCATGCCCCTTGAACATAAGCTACGGGTATATGGTAGCAGTGTTGTAATTGGTTTCAGAGCATGCATGTGTGTGTGAAGGTTAAAAAAAGAAGTAAAAGTCAATTTATATGAGAAACAAGGCCGATGTATCGCTCTTTTGTTTCCAAAGACATGTTATTAAATTTAAAACTTGCTTGAGAATTCAAGGCAACATTTTAGATTTAGTTTTGGGCCAACTACAAAAATGTAAATGTAAAGAGTATAAGGATTTCATTCATGTTGTATGCTGACAGTTGGAGACAACAATTATGTACATTTTCATCAATTTTGGATGAAGATTTAGCAATAGGATTACTATTTGAAAATAAATTGTACATCCAACCTTATTGTTGGTGCCTTTTTTATATAACGTGGCGTCTCTTTATTTTTTGCTAGATAATATTATATTTTGGTTTTAAGCTAAGAATCTCTTCTTTATATAAAGCTAATGCTCACTAAATATCTAAAGCTCAACATGCCAGCATAGTATTTATTAGAACTCCTAAAACCTACATGCAAGCATATTACATCAACCCATTAAGCACACAAAGCTCGAATGCAAACATATACTCCCTCTGTTTTAGGTTATAAGACGTTTTGATTTTGGTTAAAGTTAAACTGCTTTAAATTTAACCAAATTTAACCAAGTATGTAGAAAAAAGTAATAACATTTTCAACCAAGACAAATTTATTATGAAAATATATTTAATTATTGATTTGATTAAACTAATTTAGTATTATAAATATTAATATATTTGCCTATAAACTTAGTCAAACTTGAAACAATTTGACTTTGACCAAAGTGACAATGTCTTATAATCTGAAACAGAGAAAATAGTAATTATAATTACAATTTATTTCATTCTGAAACTAAGTATACACATACTAAATCATCATTCTCAAATCATTTTCATAATATTTCATTCTAAATCATTTCATCATTTCTCCAATATCTAACATATATTCCGCAGCAAAGCGCGAAGCATCATCTAGTTTTATAATAAATGGCTGTAGTTTCTATTAAAGTGAAGGACTAGATCGATTCAATCTATTATAAAAGAAACTTGCTTGAGAATTGTTTTGTCGCCATAATTAGTCTCTTGCTCCTGCATATATACCCCCTATCTATGTTCTTGGCTTTCATGCTGTCATGCACCATGCATGTCGGTGCTCTCATTTGTTCGTCGTCAAATCATCAAACCGGTTGAACATCTCGATCATGGCGGCAGTCGCGTTGAAGACGACCGGCCAAAAGTTTCTCTCCTGCCATTGATTTTAATTTTCATCACCAGCAAGCAAGAATTAATGAACCCTAGCTAATAACACGCGTGCAGAATATATATATTGACCATTAACGAATGAGACTATCCATTTTAGTGGCCCCTGCCATGGCGGCAAGGAATTACGAAATGATCAATCACCTGATTATTATATTTATCATATACTACAGATCATGTACCTAACCTACCTTGAAAATAGAACACTTGTACATGCACTTTTCACCAGATGACCTATAGGTATTAATTTGTTAGTATAGTATACAGTATACAATGTGCTACTTAAACTAAGTTGCCAGATTAAACTAATTAAATACCGGTCGCCGGAGAACGCTGACACGAGCAACTCAAATTATTCCGCGGCATGTCTTATTGCGTGATGCGTAGCAGTACGTACAGCTGGATATGGATATGTACAGTTTGCTTGTTCAGACTGACGATCGATCGACTAGTTATTTGAATTGCCATAGTGAAGAAGGTTGTTCTCCATATCAAAAGGGTTTTAATTTGCACTCGATTGTGTGATGATCAGGTTTACCAAACCGTGTGTGGTTATCATGTACGGTAACCTTTATGTTTTTGAAACCACGGTATATCTCGTTATATGCGCCAAACCGGAGCGGTAATCCCATATCAAACGGTTTGGTAAACACCGATGATGCTTTGCCTTCTCTTCATTGCTTCCACACTCCATCCATCAGCGAGCTGTAGTAGCATAGAGGAATTGACCCTCGACCATTCGTATAGTTACTCCAAAACGTATATACGAATTCGTTGATACTCCAAAACGCATATAATTTTTCATTTGTGGGTATATATATATATATATATATATATATATATATATATATATATATATATATATATATATATATATATATATATATATATATGGTGTTTAGGAAGGAGGGACTAAACTTTAGTCGCTCTCATAAAAATTTTAGTCCCTATGGGAGGGACTTAATATTTTTGTGAGAGGGACTAAGTCTCTCTTTTCCAAACACCACCATAATTACTCGCATTCTGTTGACAATCAAATTTGGCACTCGAAAAGGTGCCAACACGTTCAACTTTTAATGTGCAAAAGCACAACTATATATACATGTGCGTGTGCTTCTAATGAAAATTCTTTACAAGTGTCAAGAGTGTAAATGTGGTGTACGTGTAGTACGGTGTATTTTTTTACAATGAAAATAACATCTGGCCTCTGCATCAACTAATAATATAATAATGATTAGTTTCATGTGTCCGATGAATAGTTTAGGAGAAAAAAACATTTACAATTTGCTAATAAAACTGTTACATGCATGTAAAGAGAGCAGCAAGAGAAAAAAACGAGAGGGCGCATGTGAATATAGTAGGCGAATGCAACATAATGTGCGTGGAGCGTCCAATTATATGTGAAATCATGTGATGATTAATTTTTAAAGATGAGTGTTTGTTGAAAATACCATGTATAGTGTTTTCGGTCGGTGAACAATGCGGTCGGCACTGGGAGACCACTCGTTAGACCGGGTTGACCGACGATCATACCGACAGACTCTAAGGGCACCCGCAATGGTTATCTATAGGCTCTCTACAAGAGATCCATGTCAGCATATTTTCCTACTTGGAAGAGATTAAATGAAGAGAGAGAGCAAAGCTATCTACTAACCTGGAGATAGTCTATAGAGAAATACGAGGCAATGGATTAGAGAGCTATAGATACCCATGTAGACATACCATTGAAGTGGTTTACTATTAATCTAGTCTATTGCTGAGATGTACATGTTTTACAGATATCACCTTACTTTACCATTACGGGTGCTCTAAGAGGGAGTCGGTTTCGGGTTGTTTCGTGTAAATTATAGATTGCTTCATTATATAACTTTTAGACGGTTTTCTATTCATATGTGATACTATTGTATGCTGATATGAGTCAAGTTGGTGCGAACTTGCACTTGGATGTAGAGTTTCTTTGTTGTTCATGTGCATGCGTTGCTTGAGGCAATGAGAGTATAGCCAATGATGGATCGAGACTAAGCTTGGGAAAAGTTGAAGTTCAGACGATCAAGGATATCATGCAAGGATGCTCAGGATAGAGAATAATGTACGTGGAAGTGAATGTTTTCATATGGAAAGTGGAGTCAAATTTTAATTGGAGTCCAAGTTTGGGAAGATTAGAGTATAGAGTTGTATGGGGATGTTATTTCCCTAGTTATTTTGTTGGGGTCCTATATGATTAGGAGTCCTAGTTCTAGTTGGATTCGTGGCTAGGGACAACCATGTTTTGAGTATAAATAGTACAGGGGTTGAGGCTAGAAGTATACATCTATATCAACTTTTTGGGAGAGAAAAAAAATAGGTTTCGCTTCGACGCTTGAATTCTAGTTCGTGAGTTTAGAGATGAATGCTTTAGATGCACTTTATGAGATGCAATAAAGTTGATCCATCTTCAAGAGCATCTTTGGTGTGTTTTTCTCTGAACCCCGACGGTTTAATTAACCAACGGCATAGGAGCGGTCAGACTAGCGGGAAGACCGATGGGTGGTAGGCGGTCTAACCGATGGCATCACTGCGGTCTAACCGGCGGCTAGGGTTCGGCCTAACTAGCTTTTATCTGGAAGTTTGACTGGTGCATCTCCATTAGATTCGAGGGTAACCTTTATTTGCACTAAAAGTTCGATTTTTGGTGTTCCTACCATTCACTCTTTCTCTAGTAGACTTGATTACTTGTGTTTAATCATACATTATACTCTTCCTAGGTAAGGGCATGCTCGATCTGAAGCATTCTCCATATAATTTTTGTGCATCTTAATTAGTGCAGAGGGACCAGAACGATACATACTTCCATTACCTTAAAAGATATCCGCTGTTAGCTAGCTTGTCCAGCGGTACACTGGACAGTACACACATCCATTGTGTTTGATGTACTCCTAATTTGTACAGAGACCGAAAGTGATACTTGGAGGTACTTCCATTATCAAAAAATATATATCATTGTTAGCTTGCTTGACCAGGGGGCATGCACAAAGCTCGGGGCTCGCAAGCCTGCTCGAGCACGACTCATTTTATAGGCTCGAGCTCTAGACGAGCCAAGCCTAAATGTGCCAATTCTCGTGAGCTTTGTTGAGTCGAGCTAGAGCTTATGTCGAGCCTAATTAACAGTACATAATATTTTTTTATTATTTATTTTTTAAACTAGTAGATCAAATACCATTTATATAAATGTATCCATGCAATGAAATAGGTTGTTTTGGTGTTGTATATTTATCTTATTTCTTTTTCTCCTCATTCATTAATATGATTAAATAAAAGTTAGTTATTTTTATTGATAGAATATGTAGCACTACTTATGACCTAAACTCAATTGTCGAGTTTTAGCATGTCTAGAAGCTCGAACGGTTACACAGACTCAGCTCGAACTTTTGTCTAGCTCAAGCCTAGAGAGATGAGCTAGTTCGAGTTTAAGCAGGTGAGCTCGATCGTTCGAGCTCGGCTTATTGATAGCCCTAGCTCTCACATTGATTTTTTTATAAAAGAAATGGATGATGAGCACTCCCTCTCCTAGACCTAAGGTGTGGCACACTGGCAATGGGGTTATCATCATTAGGCCAAGCTAGTGTGTGTCGTTGCTGCCCGGTTACGAGTCGACGGGGCCAATGATTCTGTCTTCCACTGTACGCCGCGCGCTACGCTAGCTAACCTTACCTTTGGAGCGCACGCGACCGAGAGGATTGCACGCCACTAGCGGTCATCGAGAGATGGAGAGGAAAAATATTCCTTGCATTTGGCGCGCGCGTGTTTGTTGCGTATAGCATGCAGTGCGTCGTTGTCATGGACCGCGAGCATACGAGGGGAGTGCGTCTACGTCTACGACGCGTGCGGGGGTAGCTGCCAAATTAGACAAGCCAACATAATAATTAGCCAAACAAAACAAATTAGGCCGTGTTTAGTTGCAAAGTTTTTTTTTTCAAACTTCCAACTTTTTCATCACATTAAAACTTTCTTACACACAAACTTTCAACTTTTCTGTCACATCGTTTCAATTTCTTTTAATTTTAGTGTGAACTAAACACAGCCTCAGTGTGAGTGTGTGTTCCGGTGTTTTTGTTTAGTCTTGTCTTGCTCCGTCAGGCAAGCTAGCTGAGGTTTATTTATAGGGCAAGCGGATTAGCTAGCGTGCGAGAGATTTGTCAGTCAGGTATCCGCTGGTCGATCTCGTGGGCATCATCGTCAGTGGTTAGTTGCAGCAATGCTGGTGATGTGATCACACACGCTATATATATATATATATATGTGTGTGTGTATGTATGTCCGGGTTGTTTGTTTTGTTTTGCTGTGTGAATACGTACGTACGTGTCTGTACGCTTTGTTGTTTAATTCAATTTTATTTGATCTTTCCATTTTCTTAAAAAAATTAATTGTTTTGATGAACGTGATGGTTAATGAATCGACCACTCAATTTACCACACCTATCCCTCAAACTTACAAAATGCAGAAAAAAAATCACAGCATGATCATGATCTCACGTTGAATCAATTAATTTTCAGTTCCTCGAAATTAGTAGTATTTGAATTTACATATCTATAAAGTGATATATCACATATTAATCTATCTTGTTAAAAAATTTAATAGCTATTTAGATGACATTAAAAAAGACGAGAGGTTATACATATCCTCTCAAGATTTTATTATCATTTCCCGATTTTCATGGTGTGCAGCTGCATAGTATGTTTGACATTATCTATCTTACATGCGGAAAAACATGGGATCATACAGAGTGTAATACTAGTACTACTATAGTATTATTTTCTCCGTTTCACAATGTAAGTCATTCTATTATTTTACACATTCATAATAATATGAATGTGTAAAATGCTAGAATGACTTACATTGTGAAACAGAGGGAGTAGCATATATATGTACTGTATGAAACAAGATCAATCATGCTATGTCATTTGATATTCAGGTGAGTTATTATCCAAGACTTTGGCTTCGATCAGTTGACAGGGTTCTTGCCGAGATTGAAGGTGATATATATCAGATCCGATGTATGCGATCGGAGATGGTGATGTGGATCATAGATAGAGATAAATTAGTACGGGAGAAAAAAACTATTCACTATTATTGTTCACTTGTTCAGCCTGTTCATTGGTTGACTTCATTCACACAGCCTTCGCTGGCACGCTTTAATTTTCTTCTCTTCTTCTTTTTCCCGTTTGCAAGCTTGGGCTTGGCAGGCTGGACTTGGGCCAAGAATCTCGTAACCCTGACAAAACACAAATGGAAGTTCACTTTAGGTACCTTAATTTGTCGCCTGAGTCTGAAATTCGTCCCTAAACCGAAATAATAGGTGTAGCACATCCCCCAACTCACAATACTGTGTTAATTTTGGTCCTGGCAGTATGGTGGCCGGTTTTGGCTGACGTGACGGCTGAGTCAATCATGAAACCCAAATGTCAGGACGCCTTACCTAAATAAAAAATAAACAAAAACTTGTGGACCCTACCTTTAAGTGACAATCTCCTTTCTCTATATGTATCTCTCAACCTTTTCTTGGCGACATAGGTGGGAGCAGGGGGGCGGCGCGCCGACTGGGCATTGGTGGCACGGTGGAACCACAAGGCGCAACTGGCGGTGTGGAGGAGGGCGTCGGTAGTGTGGGAGAGGACGACGGGCGGCAAGAAAGGAGCAGGGTGGCAGCGAGCAGTAGGAGAGGAGGGCATCAGCGGCGTAAGAGAGGGAGACGGGCGACAAGAGAGGAGCTGAGCGGCGGCAGGCGATGAGAGAAGAGATGGGCGGTGGCGGCGACCGATGGAAGAGGGCGACAGACGACAAGAGAGGAGTTGAGTGGCTGTGGCAAGAGAGGAGCAGGGTGCGGGGGAGAGAAGCAGTCGTTGGAAAATTGTTGTTGACATCGCCTTCTCAGGGGTCTTCTCCGGATGGCGGTAGAAAGACGCTGCCGGTGCCAGTGCGATGGCAGGGGAGAGAAGCAGTTGTCGGTCCTCATCCATGCCGCCGCCAACTTTGCCGCGACCCATCGATCCTCCTCAAGCCTTGCCGCCACCGCCGCCACCTCCACTATGACAGAGAGAGACCCCTTCCCATCGCCTTCTCATCCTATGCTAGAGCGGCCGCCACCACTGTAGTGCCACCCGTGGCCCCTCCTCCTCATCCTTTTCATTGTCAGTGGGGGCTAAGCGCACCCTTGGGGAGTGGTGGGGCGGTGGAGAAGGTGCTACCTTAACGCTGCTGTCATCATTGACGATTTGACATCACGCTCTGCAGAGTTCGCCCCCTCCACTCAATTTCCACGGTGACAGCATTCAGGCATTGGTTGGCTAGGACAAAGGAAGAGAGAGAAAGAGAGCGGGGAAGGAAGAGAGGGGGGAGGGGAAGATGTTGTTTCACCGACATTGGGGCCTACAAAGGTTTTTTATTTTTTTTGTTTTTGCTACTATGCCGCATTAGCGCCACATCAACCGAAACCGTCATCTAAATCACGTTGGGATCTTATTTGCACTAGTTTTAGGAGTTGAGGGACATTTCATATTCTGCGGTGCAGGAACGAATTTCAGACTCGGGGACAAATGGAGGGACCAAAATGAACTTATTAATTACAGATTGACAAAACACAAGATTTGCCTGTATCTTTCGGAATACACTGCGCAGGATTGGGAATTCCAGAGAAGTTTTAGAGAAAAGGTTGCTTGTTGTGCGACGCCTCGAATCATTCTTCTCCCTCGCCTCCAAGCCATCTTACCATCTCGACAACTCCGATCCAGGGAAAAGTGAATTTCGTGAACAAATAGCCCAAGATGTTAGTACAACCGGAAGCCCAGTATCGAAGAAACTTACGTTGTATGGGCCAACATTTCAAGAAATATAAACATATAAATTACAAATTTTGTCAGTAAAATTTGGAGGGTCAAACTTTGGTCTCATGCAAAATTTTCACATCGTACACTCCTTGACAAAAAGAAGAAGAAGAAGACACCCATATGAATTCTACGAGAAAACAAATTCGCATAAATTTTAAGATGTGTCAGCTCAGTCTTTTGGAGATGTTTTTAGATGTACGTAGAGAAAAAAGTGAGTGTGCTTTTTAGAAAAAAAATTCGCGGAAATTTCCTTCACAAAATTTTGTCGAAAATTCATCGAAAAAATAATATAAAATGATTCGCTGCAACTTCCATCTTATTCTATGAGAAACCGACTTGATCTAAGCCATGTGAATGCGATGGCACATTCATCCGGCCCCACATGTCAGCGAGCCCTAGAAGCGTCCCCCCAACTTCCCATGCGTGTCCCCTCGTCTTCTCTTCTCCTCTCTTTCTTCCGCGCCCCGCTCCGTTCGATTCGATTCGATTTCCGCCCAAAATTTCCCAAATTCCCCTCCGATTCGCCGAAAGCCCAACCGCCTCTCTCTCTCTCTCTCTCTCTCTCTCTCTCTCCATTCTCTCTCGCCGCCGCGCCGCGCCGCGCCGCTCGCCGACCGGATCCCATCCATGGCGTCCCCCTCCCTCGCCGCCGCCGCGGCCTCCCCGCTGACGTCCCTCGACCTTGCCACCAGCCCCGCCACCGCCTCCCGCCCCGCCGCCGCCGCCGCGTCCGCGCTCCGCAAGCGCCCGGTCCTCCTGCTCGACCAGCGCCACCACCCCTCCACCCCGAATCTCGACTCCTCCGCCGCCGCGGCTGCGGCTGCGGCGGCGGCGGGGGTGGCGCAGGCGCAGCCGCCGCCCCCGCGACGCAAGAAGGCGGGACACACGTCGTCGTCGACGCGGCCGAGGTGGCAGACCGCGCTCAGCGTCGCCGCCAAGAACGCGGTGCTCCTCGCCGTGCTGCTCTACGTCGGCGACCTCGCCTGGCGCGCGGCGCGCCCGGCCCCGCCGCGGCCGGTCGACCAGGCCGCGATGGCCGGTTACGACGCCCGCGTCGCGGACGTCGAGGCGTCCCTCGCCCGCGCCTTCCGGATGCTGCAGGTGCAGCTCGAGGCCGTCGACCGCAAGATCGACGGCGAGGTCGGCGCCGTCCGCGGGGAGCTCGCCGCGCTGCTGGAGGAGAAGAGGCTGGAGCTCGAGGGCCAGCTCAAGCGCCTCGACGCCAGGGCCGACGACCTGAGCGACGCGCTCGGCGCGCTCAAGCGGATGGAGTTCCTCAGGAAGGACGAGTTCGACAAGTTCTGGAACGAGGTGAAAGAGAGCCTGGGTTCGGGCCCCGGCACCGAGGTTGACCTCGATCAAGTTCGTGCATTGGCCAGAGAGATCACCATGGGGGAGATTGAGAAGCACGCGGCTGATGGGATTGGTAGGGTAGACTACGCTGTGGCATCGGCTGGGGGGAAAGTCGTCCGCCATTCGGATGCTTATGATGCTGGGAAACGTGGTGGTTTCTTTTCTTCATTGCTTAGTGGAGATACTGCTGCTAGCCCAAAAAAGATCCTTCAGCCAAGCTTTGGAGAGCCCGGGCAGTGCTTTCCACTGCAGGGGAGCAGCGGGTTTGTGGAGATCAAGCTGCGGAAGGGGATTGTCCCTGATGCAATTACACTTGAACATGTTTCAAAGGTAACTTTCTTGGTGATTCGTTTACGGAATTATATCATATTTGCTTCCTTGCGCCTTGGTTAATTACTTCTCTAGCGCACAATAAAATTCTGTGACTATGTCTGTCTAAAACCAAATCATGTTTGACCTGAAGGGATGACCGATGAGTAGAGGTGTGTCATTTGTTGGGTAGGTCTTATGCATAAGCTTGTAGCATTTTAGTTCATAGTAGTTAGTGGGGGTGACAACAATTTTAAGCAAGACCCTTCTTTAGCAAACCATTATAGAGAATCACTTACTTTTGTATCGCTACTAGCATTATTGAGCTTGTATGTTTTGTCTGCAACTAATTATAATTCTATATGACATTTGTTTGTAGTTACCGAATCATCTTAAGCATTACGTAGTGTACCCACCAAATAGGACTCATATGACAACAATACTGCTGCTTCTATGAATTCTCTCTTTGCTGTATGTTCAGTGGTAATTGGAAAGACACACTTTTAACTTTAACTTCTATGTGATATGAAGCTGAATGCATTCTGATCCCGCTTGTGTTATATGTCTCTCTTTTTAATGGTCAATGGTAGGCTTCAGTTGCTCATGAACAAGCAATCTTTTTTACTACCTTTTGAATATTATTTTAGAACATAACCTTCCGAATTGTGAGTCGACTTTTTTCTAATTTGGTTGTAAAACATTACAATACATCTGATGATTAAGCAACTGCAAAGAAACTCATATCTTCCCTTGAATTGCTAAGATGGTTGATCACTTCTTGTCATATGCCGGACTTAAACCTATGATGCTGTCTTTTATTTTTCCTGTTTAATATTTTATGGGCATCATTTACTTTAATTTTTTGGTTATCTCAAGTTATAACCTGTAGTTTATTATTGGAAGCCTGATAACTTGATAAGTTATAACCTTGTACCGCCTATTTTTATGTTTGCGTAGAACATGCTCCAATTGAAGTCTCGTTATACAGTTCTGCAGAATGGATTTCTTACTAAATACTTGATTTTGCACACTGAGAGGTTTTCCTGTCACAAAAACTATTCTCAGATATTTACTGATTAACTTCTGTCACATGACATGCAGGATGTAGCATATGATATGTCGACTGCGCCAAAGGACTGCCGGGTTTCTGGGTGGTATCAAGAGGCACATAATGAGGCGTATTCAGGTCATGCTGCAAGCGCAAAGATGTATGTCTTGACTGAATTCACATATGATCTAGACAAGAAGAATGTCCAGACATTCGACATTACAGCACCAGATGTTGGTATCATCAACATGGTCCGACTGGACTTCACTTCAAACCATGGAAGCTCCGCGCTAACCTGCATTTACCGCATCCGGGTCCATGGTCATGAGCCGGTCTCACCAGGAATGTCAGTTTCTCAGTCCTGAGATGGGAAATGCTTTTGTTTCTGTCTCTTGTAAGTGTTTTGGTTTAGGGATCTCCTTGTGCCCTTGCTAGTTTTCAGCGTAGGATGTTATCATGTACACTCTGTAAAGGTAATGATTGTTTTGCTGCAATCGTCTAGCCCAATGACATCTTTTAGATACTAAGAGTTAGACATTATGTTTGTTCCATCAATGGATGGCAATTGTGGTTAGTAAGATTTATTTGCGTATCTGTTGATGGTTGTTTGGGCTTGATCATTTTGAAGGTAAAACAACCAAAGATTTCTTGCAATTCTACCTGGAATTCTTGTCCACTTTCAAATTGGGAACTGCCTGATGCTGGGATTGAGTGAAATCATCCTCAAATGTTCTTGTTAACATGTTCACCGAATCTTTGTCTCACCTCTGAGCTTGGAGGGGAGTGAATCATCTAGTTGGGTGTAGTTAATAGCCGCATTGTTTTCACAGTCCAGTGTTCTCAAATCTGAAATCGAGACCTGAGATCGTAATTTTCATATTCCAATAAATATTAATTACTGTATTTGGTGATGATGTTTGATAATATTTGATTCTATTTTCGCATCCGGGATTTCTTATTTTGATTCCAATTCCAGAAAAATACATATATAAACGAAAACAGTAGGCTGTAGTGCAGTAGGAGTAGTTTCCGTCCTTTTTCGAGCTGTTTTCGCCTCTACTTGCAAGGATTTGCAGATGCTGTTGTTTAAGGTGCCGTGGAATGGATTTGCCGACACAAGGGCGATACCATACTTTTACTTGGAACCATTTGAAATATTTGACATCGAAAATCTTCTAAACAAGGCTTATATCTTGTAAGAGAAAAATGATGGGTTCTAGTGGTGATCGGAAAACTAGCACTTTCAATCGCATATCTCTTCTCTTCTCTACTACTTAAAAAATACAAAAAATTTACTTCGTCCGTCAAAACAAAAAAATAGCAAAAAAAATAAAATAAAATAAAAGTCCGACTCCCCTAAGATCCAATCCCCCCTTAAAAACAAAAAAAAAAGTCCAACTCCCCTGCATAACTGCCCTCCGGCATGAAAAACGGAGCGATCCATTAGCACGTGATTAATTAAGTACTCCCTCCGTTTTATAATGTAAGTCATTCTAACATTTCCCACATTCATATTGATGTTAATGAATCTATACATATATATCTATTTAGATTCAATAACATCAACCCTAACATCAAAACATTGTGAAACGGAGGAAGTATTTGCTATTTTTTTTTCAAAATGGATCCATATGATTTTCGTATATAAGCTTTTTGCAAAAAAAAGAAGCGTTTAGTAGTTTAAAAAGCGTGCGCTACTTAAAAAATTGAAAAAGTTTCCTTCGTCCGTCAAAACAAAAAAAAGCGAAAAAAATAACAAAAAAAAGTTCGACTAGATCCGATACCCCTTAAAAATGGAAAAAAAAAGTTCGACTCCCCTGCATTCGTTTCCCTAGGCTGGCCCTCCGGCATAGAAAACGGAACGATCTATTAGCGCGTGATAAATTAAGCATTTGCTAATTTTTTTTTTCAAAAATGGATCAATACGATTTTTAAGCAACTTTTGTATATAAACTTTTTGCAAAAACAAACAAACCATTTAGCAGTTTAAAAAACGTGCGCGTGAAAAACAAGGGAGAGGGGTCGGGAACAAGCGAAAACGAACGCATCCTAAGTAGATCCGATTCCCCCGTTTAGTAGTTTAAAAAGTGTGCACTACTTAAAAAATTGAAGATGTTTTTGCCGGTACTTTGGTAAGTCATCCGTGTATGAGTCGGTTTTTAAGTTCGATTGCTTTTGGAAATACATATTGTATTTAAGTCGGTTTTTAAGTTTGTTCGCTTTTGGAAACATAGAAAGAGTCGTATAAGAATTCTCTTTTAAAAAAACTCGCATGGTAACTTAAGACGATCGGACTTCTAATTATAGCTCATGAATTTCTAATAAAATATATATCCAAGTGAATTCCTACAGTGAATTTCACCTTAACTAGACCGTATAACAACAATAAAATTAAAATAGCATTCACCCATTGCAACGCACGGGCATTTTTTTCTAGTAAATATAAAAATTGAAGATGTTTTTGACGGTATTTTGGTACGTCATCCGTGTATGAGTCGGTTTGTAAGTTCGTTTGCTTTTAGAAATACATATTCATGTTTAAGTCGGTTTTTAAGATCGTTCGCTTTTGATAATACGGAAGGAATAATATAAGAAATCTGTTTAAAAAAACTCGCATGCTAACTTGAGATAATCGGATTCCTAACTACATCTCATTATTTTCTAAAAAAATATATATCCAAGCGAACTCCTATAGTGAATTTTATCTTAACTAAACCATATAAGATTAAAATAGATTTCACCCGTTGCAACTCACATGCATTTTTCTATAATAAAATAATAAAAAGAAAATCAGAAGCTTTATATTTAAAAAGTAAAAAAAGAGAGAAAAAACTAAGAAAATAGTCAATGACAAATACACTCCTTTGTTTCTCTCCTTCCATTGGGAGAAATTTCAGTATTTACCATCCAATACGATGACCTTTAAGGAGCTGCCACACAATACGCTGGCCTTTCAAAATTTACCACCAGGCACGCGAAATTCTTCATTTGGAGCCACTCCGTCCGCCTGCCTCGCCGTCCATCCGCGCGACTGTCTCCGAGCTAGGTGGCGTCGTCGCCCAGGCACGGTCGTCGTCACCTCGCATCCCGCCCCCGCCGCCGTCCCCATCCCCAAGCTCGTTCAGCACCGTCGCCACCGCCGTCCCCAACCTCCATCGCCACCATTCCCATCCCCAAGCTCGTTCAGCGTTGTTGCCATGCTCGCGCCCCATCGCCGCCGTCCCTGAGCTCGTCTGCCACTGTCGTCGAGCTCGCATTCCGTTCCGCCATTGCTGCCATGCCCGAGCTCGCGTCCGGTCGCCGCCGTAGTCACCCCCAAGCTCGCGTTCCGCTGCCGCCGCCGTCGCCCCAGAGCTCACGTTCCGCTGTCGCCGCCGTCACCCCCGAGCTTTCCGCTGTCGCCGCCATGCCCAAGCTCTCATCCGATCATTGTCGCCGTCGCCCCTGAGTTCGTGTTCTGCTGTTGAACCGCCATGCCCGCAAACTCCGTCCCCGTCTACCATCTAGATGTCGACAAAACCATGTGCTCCTCCGTCCCTATCGAAGGTGCAACGTCCCTCGCCGGCAACCGCGGCCGGAGTTAGCTCAGGGATGATGGTCAAGCCTTGAGACGACGGCCGACAAGCTCGGAGACGAAGACAAAGACGGACGACGCGGACAAGCAGACGAAATGGCAGGAAATGAAGAATTTCGCGTGTCTAGTGATAGATCTTGAAAAGCCAACGTATTGAGTGGCAATTTCTTAAAGGTCATCGTATTGGATGGTTAATACTGAAATTTCTCTTCCATCGGTCCCCTCCTTTTCCTCTCCGTTTCCGGCTTCCGGCGGAGGCCCCCCCCCCCCCCCCCCCCAACACACACACACACAGCGCCTCGCGCGCGCTTTTCCGCCGCCGGCGACCTCGCCGGAGCCGCGCGGGTTCTGTGTACGCCCACCCCCTCCCTCCGTCTCCCACCCCCCGCCCTAGCCATCTTCCCTTGCGCGGCGGGCAACCTCGCGCGCGCACGGCCAGCAGCGAGCGAGCAGGTTTGGGGGGGGAGAGGCGACGCGGCCGCGACCTCGTTCCACCGCGCCGGCCTCCGTCTTGGCTTTGTTCGAATCGAATCGAAGGTATCCGTTCTTCTCTCTCGTAGCCCTCCTCCTCCTCCTCGCCACCTCTTGAGCCGGGCGTGCCGTAGTGGCCGAGGTGGAGATCCAATACGAACTTGATTTCGTTTCCTCCAATTAACCCTTATCCATTTGTAATCCATTTGTTTGAGGATTTCTTTGATGTGTAGTGCGGCGCTCGCAGCAATTTCCTCCAATTAACCGATGTATTGTCATCACCAATGAACAAACACGCTAGGAAATTTGATATACTTTTGGAATGCTTGTGTTGGTTCTTGCACTAGACCTGACCTATGCCATGCGGTATATCTTTATTTTGTTGAAGCTGTGATGCTTTTTGTATCTGAACAAATCTTCCTTCTGCGTCGCAGAGATGGCCGGAAAAGGGAGCTACGTTCCGCCTCAGTACATTCCATTATATGGCCTGGATACTGAGGAGGATCGCGTTTCTGCGGAGGAGAATGATGCCGCGCGCCACAAGTTAACCCGGGATCCTACACAATGGTCTTCAGGCATCTGTGCTTGTTTTGATGATCCACAGAGCTGTATGCTACTCTCTGACCTGTGACTCCTTGATTTCAGAAGGAAAGATAAAAGGTGCTATTTGGTTGCATGTTAGGATATGGATAAGAAAATAAGCATTGAACATAGTTTCCTAGTTAGTGTTATCGCTATGTTATTATTGGGTTTATCATTCCACGAAGCATGTCATGTGTGAAGCACTGAAGCCGTGAAGGATAAGTTGGTTGGGTATGACATCCAATATTTTGTACTGTCAATTTGCCAAACTGGTATTTATGCCAATGGAGGCCTGAAATGCAAAGTAGCCAACCACCTAATAGTTCTGCTTCATTATACTTAAGTCTTGAGTGGCCATTACAGTATTGGTTTAATTTTTAGCACATTCAGGGATATTGCAAGAAGTATAATTAATCCAATAAGCAAGTTTTATCAGCATTCTGATTTCTGAAAAGGTCCCTTCACTTTGAAGAAAACAGAACTATATTCTTATAGCCTCAAATTTCCTGATGATTTTTGTAGGTTTTATTGGTGCAACTTGTCCTTGCTTCCTTTTTGGAAGGAATGCACAGTTCTTGGGATCTGGAACTCTTGCTGGATCATGCACTACACATTGCATGCTTTGGGGCCTTCTCACAAGTCTCTGCTGTGTGTTTACTGGGGGCCTTGTATTGGCAGTTCCAGGATCTGCTGTTGCTTGTTATGCTTGTGGATATCGACAAGCACTAAGAGCAAAATACAATCTTCCGGTACGAGCTTGAAACTTACTCTTTTCTGGTCTTTGACATTTCTCGGATGTTACTGGTTACATGTTTTAGATTTAGTAGTCAATAGAGGCAGTTTTTTCACGACATATTGATATAAATGGATGATATTTCCTTACTGCACAATTTAATCAATAGTGGGATTTATGGTGAAAATTCTTCATAGTTGAACTTTAGTTGAAACTGAAATCTACCTTACATATATGTAAGGACTGCATATAAGGCAATCCTTCCACTGTTGCTATTAGTCTAGCAATTTGAGCTCTGCCATGGTGTCTTGCCTACCAAAGTATGTTTCTTTTGCAAGCAGTACAGTAGTAAGTGAATAGAATCTTTAACTGTCAATTGAAACATGCATTTGGTTGCTGGTTTCAGTGTCTTGTGTGTAATTTGATTCAGCTACAAAGGTCATGACCAAATTGTTAATCTCAATAGGAGCCAATCTAGGCTTCCACATGACTATGATTTCTTGATGTGTTGTCGATGCATTGTTCATAAATCTACAGTAAAACATAGTAAATTTATATTTTAGTTGCATGTATCTGGAACTGGATGCTTTGAAAGCTTACAAGAGCAAGAGCTGGGATAAAGGGATCTGTATGCAACTGGCTATATTTGATAGGATACTGGAGTACATCACTAGGGCTGTATGGTTGTTGAGTCATGGCAAATCTAGTTTACTGATTCTAACATGTTCATTTCAAATATATTTTCTTTTGCAGGAAGCACCATGTGGCGATTTAACAACGCACTTATTCTGTCACCTGTGTGCTATATGTCAAGAGTACAGGGAGATCCGCGAGAGGACAGACAGCGGCTCCTCCGCTCCGACCGTCACGCCACCTGCAATACAGACAATGGATGAGCCTTGAATGGAAATATGAAATATTGATGAACGCCTCTCTATCTGAATTCTGACGAATCTTTGGTTGTTGCTGCTTGCGAGTGTTTGTTATATCTTCTTTGATTGTGCTTCCACGGGTACTACTACGAGGCTGGTTCCGTAGAGTTGTTGTAAAGATGATTTTTCGACAAATGAGCAAATCACAGTTTGCAGGTGTAGCTGTGTCATTGAACTGTAGCACGATTGTTACATGTAACATTTATCTTTTCACATATTGGAATATGATGGCAAAGGTAAAGAACACACTTGTTGTCCATTGCCTCAGTTTCTTTCTCATATTCTGAGGCTTGTAATGTCTTAATATAATGATCCGTAGTCTCCTAATGGCTAATGTTAAACCAACCTGAGGCCCCTGTGGAACAAAAGTTCATATTGTCTTCCGTTTTGAATTATTTCCTTAGTGTGAAATCCATTCGTCCAACAAGGGCTAAAAACTGAATTGTACAGATCATTTGAACCATCTATCGAATTTACCAAATCACTGATTACAAACAAATAGTACAAAGTTTGCATGAGAGTTACAAACTGAAATTATTTCGGCAAATACAGATTCACAAATCACAACTGGGCAAATAATTTTGTTCCTAAATCCCTTATTTATTCAGCGAGAGGATTGACCACATGCCCAAGAAACAGTACGGCGCCGGTGAGCTCCTCGACGACGGCGAACAAGAACGGCCGGTCGGCGACGAAGTCCACCGGCGGCAGTGAGCTCCCCTTTTGCATCATAACCACGGCGGTGGAGGCGGCGGCCACGGTGCCGAGCTCGTCCACCTCGATGGTGGCCTGATGATACACTTCGGCGATGAAGAGACCGTCCCCGCCGGTCACCATGCCGGAGAAGTCGCCGCCGGCGAAAGCTCGGGTCACGCCCAGCTTCCGCATGTCGGACTTCGCCTCGAACTTGAACGAGAACTTGAACTTGGGGACCATGAGCCGCCTCACCGGAGCCTCCGCCGCCGGCGTGTGCTTCTTGATGAACTCCGGCGTGGTCACGGCCATATCGTAGAGATCGGCGAGCTTGAGCGCGCCGTCGCCGTCGGGGAGGAGCAGGAGCATGTAGAATGCGGCTCGGGGCACGCCGTCGCCACCGCCGCCGCCGCCGACGTTCTTGTAGGGGAGCTTGAGCGCCGTGAAGCCGGGGAAGGCGGCGACGTGGCGCTCGAAGGGGATCTCCGTCGTCATGAACGGCGCGCGCACGGCGCCGCCGTCGAGGAGGTGGAACGGCGCGTGGAAGGTCGCCGACGGGTGGAACGGCAGCGACCACGTCCCCTTGAAGTGGACCGCGTTGGCGAGGACGACCACCGTGGAGGAGTCGACGGAGTTGGGAGGGAGGACGTCGCGGATGAGCCCCTCCGTCGCGTCGGACACGAAGGCGTTGACTCGCTCCCGCGCCTGCTCGGGCTGGGTGGCGAAGTCGGCGGGCTCGGCGACGGCGGCGTAGCGCGACGCGGCGGCGTCCGCGAACTCCGGCGTGAGCGCGCGGCCGCGGTCCACCCACACGCCGCAGGCGAAGGACGTGTTCGGCAGGTGGCGGAGCCTCGCGACGAGCCGCGTCGTCGGCGAGCGGTGAAGCTCGGCGAGCGACGGCGAGCCGAGGAAGCCCAGGAGCTCGCGCTGCGTCTCGCCCCGCGCGCCGTCGGCCACCAGCGCGAGCGCCGCGTGGAAGGACAGCGGCGAGACGATGAAGTTGCGCCCCTGGCCGCCGCCTGCCGCCGCCGCCCTGCGGCCGACCTCCCTCGCGAGCGGCAGGCACGACACCTTCGCCTCCTCCGCCATCGCAGGAGGAGCCATGACGTCGCTCCGCACACCACCATCGCCTCCCGTCGCTCGACCAGAGAACGGCTCACCGGCGGCGAGCGCCGCCATGGGCACGCGGTCCCAGGAGGAGAAAGGACGAGGAGGAGGCGGTGGCGCAAACTCTGGCGCGTCGTGGCGCTGCACCACATGCTCGTCCCGGTTCGCCCATGGGTGCGGCGCCGCGAACGCGAGCCCGAGCCAAGGCCGGCCGCCGGAACGGAAGCTCAGGACCTGACCGGCGCCCTGCTCGCCGCTGCCGACGAGGAGGCTCGCCGCGCCTGCGCGTGCGGCTCCGGCCTCCGCGCCACGGTAAGGGTGGTGGCGCCGGTCGTGGCCGTCACGGCGGTGAGCTGCGGCGTCGTGGCCCATGAGAAGGCGGCGATGGAAGTGAAACAAGCTTTAAGGGAAACTGTTTTAAACACTTGGGTAGATGTCCACTCGTTTCTTGTATGTCATCTAAATGGTTATAAAAAATTTTCAAAAAAACTAACATGATAGGTTAATATGTAATATATCACTTCACAAATATGCAAATTCAAATTCGACTTCTACAAATTATAACAAAAATAATAAATTTGACTGTGAATATACGTACACTAGTTAGAGTTTTATTTGTTATTTTTGTTACAACATGTAGAAATCGAATTTGAACTTGTATATTTGCAAAGTGATATATTACATATTAATCTATCTTATATTTTTTTAAAAAAATTAGTGGTTTCGTGAGCTAGTGAACAAAGCTTGGCTCTCAAGTCAACGACCAGGTCACGCTTTGACTTGGAGAGAGTTGACTACAAGTTGACTAGCTACGCGCAGTTGCTTGGAATCGCGACTACAAGATTCATCTACAGGAAGCACATGAGCTATAAAAGTGATACTCGAGCTACAAAGGCTTAAATTTTGATTTCCACAACATTACACGTCCATCTGTTTGTTCAGACATCTCCTTTTAAGTTGGCTCTTTTTGAGACGGAGGGAATAAGTGAATACATTTTTAATGACAACCTGTGAAGTAGAAGCTCACCATTAACTTTTGTTTCTTTTGGTCCCTCCGTACTTATAAAGAAAGTCGTTTAGGACAATGTTTAAGTCAAACATTGGAAATATAAATCATGAATAACTCTTAAGTTGTTAAGTTTAAAAATATAAAAATTATATGAATAGATTTGTCTTGAAAAATATTTTCATAAAAGTATACATATATCACTTTTTAATAAATATTTTTATAGAAACAAGAAGTTAAAGTTGTGTTTTGGAGACCGTGTCGCTGTCCTAAACGACTTTCTTTATGAGTACGGAGGGAGTACTTCACGAGACTCGAATGATTGACAACGTCTATAGCAATTAATCGGAGTACTGATAGTTAATTAACTATGTACACTTTTCATCCTATAATATAAAGCATAATTAAAGTTGACAATCTTTTAAAACTAATTTTTAATTAAGCTTTGCTGCAATGAAGTTATAACCATCTAAAAGTACATTCAATTGCCAATCCAATAATATCATTTTCAACAAATAAAATTGATAGCTCATGTGCTTTCTGTAAATAAAATACGTATTTTTAACTAACAATACGTATTTTCAACTAATTATTGGTTAAATGTTTTTAAAAGTTAATTATTAAAACACGTGCATATATTACGTTATGGGATAGAGTGAGTAGTAATTTAGCGTTCGCATTGGTATCAATGTATTTAATAATTTGCTCTACAACAAAAACTTAACAACATATCTGTGTTAAATGAAGTGGTTTGTCCCCAACACGGATATCTGCATGGATCATGAAGAGAGAAGGTACACCTGAACAATAACGTAGGATCTCTAGTCATCAAGTGATGGAACCTTGAAAATGCAGCGAAATCAACAGAAGATTAACAGTACACCGTGCTAAAAGAAAACAAATTCTTCAAGTCGAACTGTTAGAACCCAAATGTAGCTGGCACCAAAAGTTACAGAATTACGGCAGAGGCTTCGATAAACATAAATAATAATTTGGGTGGGGGTCTGTATAGGGTTGACACAACAGTAGAAGGAGACTAGAACACAACCGTGTCGAGCATGGTTCCTAGGGTCTGAACTATGTTTGACGACATCAAATTTGAGACATGCTCTTCCAAGTGCTTCTTGGCATCCTGCCGTCCCACATTGGCAATCGCTAGTTTCTCAGGTGGCAGCTCATCCTCCTCCTGCACTGCCTTGTTATATTTGATGGCTAGGTTCAGCATTTCCTGCACGTGAAAACACACATATAAGTACTAGTAGTAGCTAACTAGTACGAAACTTTGCAACATGAATTAAAGGGTTGTTCTGAAGGATCATCTATGGTACGGTTGAAAGTAGAATGCCACGCACCTGAACAGTCTGCTCATTGGTTTTCGAATGAGTGTCAAAACTCTTCAAAATCAATCCATCGGTCCATTTCTTTTTGTGTAAGTTAAGCAACATTTTCTCCTCCAGTTCATTTTTGCGGTAATTGATTGCAATGGAGTAGTAGTGTCTGTTCAGCCCGTGAATAAGAGCCTTACAACACAAATAAGTTTGAATCAAATATAGATAATTGATAGAGCAAAAGTTCATTGGTAGCAGTATTATTAATAGTGAGAACTTTACCTGGATAGATGGTTTGTTTAGATGCCCAACATTTGATGTTGTCTGTCGCGGTTCCTGGCCAAGCATCATGGTCTGAGGATTAATGAGACGAAATGCATCAATGACCACCTTCCCCTTGACACTCTGGATTGGGTCTATCACAACTGCAACAGCCCTGGGATTTAAAGCTTCAAAACTCTGCACAATTCCATTTAAGCTGTTAGACATACTCACTTTCAATACGCATGTTTACATAGAAAAATAAGTGTCAACATATTTTGCAACAAATTAAGCTTTAACCCTTGGAAGAATTTACAAATCACCACCTAGTATTCTTAAATTTGTATATTTTATGATCCCTGCCCCAGATTAGACATAAGATTCATACTGTTCACCAAATATGCATCAGCTCCAACAAGCTAGTGATTAGTGAACAGAAGCTCGAGGTAGATATGAAACATGGTCAGTCAATTTCAAGAGTATGGACCATCCTTGCAGACCAACTACCACCGATATAAGCATATAACTACTTGATGACAATGGGATAAGCAGAAGAAACATAAGATAACATAAAAGATACCAAATGTATGCCACCTTTTACTCTCTTTACCCATTTCAATTGATCAAATTATTTCTAGATATTTGATTAACTGACATGCTGCATGCAGTGCCACATGTTTGGACACATCAATTGTTTCCATTTGTCAAATGTGAAACAATTGCTCCTTTTAACAAAACTTATAAAAAGGTAGAATAAGCATATGCACCTGCTGAGTGTTGATATCAACACCTGAAAGCCAACATCCAAATCCAGGATGGGAGTGATACCAGCCCACCACCATTTCTGGTCTGTAAAGATAACACAAGTGGCCACAAAATCACGTTAAACAGCCTAAAAACAACGGTGTAAATAAAAGTAAATAATTCTAGATCATCAGACTGAGAGTGTTGATAAAAGAAACAGATATAAGACCATGGCCAGTATTACTGTACAAACAATTTTCTAGCACTTGGGAGTAACATATCCTAGAAATGCATCGACAAAACTGAGAAGAAGTTCATTTAGAAAGCGTCTTCCTTCTTAAGCAATTTCTAAAATATTCCCCTAGCATAACAAACAAGTAGGCCCAGTAACCAAAATCCTATTTACAACACGCATTAGAACATAAGATGTATATAAGGTGTTCACAGCTGCTAGGTACTTCTGTCCCCAACTTACTTGTTTGCTAGGTACTCCATACAAAATATCAGCCGTAGAACTATGATGCACAGACATCGATGTGGTGTTAACAATGATAAGGATGTGAACCAATGTACCAATTCAACAACGATAAGGATGACATTGCTACCAATGCATTATATAATACAACTGGTAGGCCTAGCTGTTACTGAACAGCAAGTTAGTGGTATGTGTTCAAATAGATACAAAGATCTATCTCCAACATCAACTCAATCACTATATATTATCAAACTTTACACAAAGCATTCATTTTTTTCTTTGGGGGGACCTTGTCAACTATCCAAAGGATTTGCTTAGAACATCTCAAGGAAGTAAAAATACTGTAATCCTTCAGAAGAATTGCATTGGGACCTTATTCTCTTCACATGAATGTTTGGATGCATCAAAGAGCAAGAAACACAACTGATTCTAGAGCTTTTACCAACATTGACTTATACTTTGGCTTCCAAATTCAAGCATGCAGTCTGCAAACTGACTTGTGATGACAGCACAAAGCCCACAAAAAAATGCAGAAAACGGCAATTTGGTTGTTATCATGAAACAAGTACACAATAAAAGAAAAATGTGCTCACACAGACTAATGTTACTCTACTGCCTAGAGGGTTTTTCAGCTGTGATGCCTAAATGAGTTGCCCCAAACTGCTCTATGACTATGAACAGTAGATATTTCCAAAGTCAGTTGAGCCAAGTGTTGTAATGGAGCCAATTCTGGTTGTGCCTGCTGAAAAGGCCGGAGATGTAATCCATTCCCATTATCTAAAAAATAAAAGGACCGTTTACAAAATTAACGCATGTATACACAAAACCATCTACACCAATCTGAAGGAGAAAATAGTAGTAGTTGTTATGTATCAAGATCAGCTCATCTAAGGTGCCCTGAAAGAGGGGGCGGGGGGGGGGGGGGGCAAATCCTGCGCAGATTAATCAAGCAAAGCGCACCAAATCTGAACAAGGGAGAGAGATAGAAAGGGAACCAACAGATCCGCCGTTTTTTTCTCTAGATCGGCGGCGGGGGCAAGAGGGGATTACCTCCCGGTCTGCTTGAGCATGTCGAGCATGTTGGTCTGGAAGACGTGGTCGACGGCCTCGACGCTGACGCCCGTCCCGCTCTGCGGCATGGCGAAGACGTCGACCACCCTGACGGTGTAGTCGTCGACGAACTCCCCGAGCATCAGCCCCATCACCTCCATCGGCACGCCGGCCCGCCCTGCGCGCGCCGCAAAACCAAAATCAACGGAAACCTTAATATCCCCCATCATTGAGGAGGAGGAGAGGGGGACTGACCGTGCTTGAGCATCTTGAGGAGGGCGAGGGAGGAGATGTAGACCTGCTCGGAGGAGTCGAGCAGCGGCGAGTCCGTCGGCGGCTGCCCCATCCCCGACGCCCCGAAGATCCGCTGCAGCCGCTCCATGGCCGCCGCTCGCTCGCTTCGTTCGCCGCGCGGAGGAGAGGAAGAGGGGAGAGAGAGACGGAGGAGGAAAGAGGCTGCGACTGCGAGTCGTCTCGTCCGCCGCTTCGGTGTGAAGACGGCCGCGGTTTCTTTCTTTCTTCCAGCGCACGGCTTCTCGTGGGCCTTAGCGTTTGGGCTCGGGGCTTATTATTCTTGTGGGCCCCATGGTACTCGGCCTCGGTCATCTGAATCTGGGCCATTTTCCTCCAACCAAGCCCTTCTTCGTGTCGAAAGGGGAAAAATAAATAAATTTCACTCTTTTTTTTTTTTGAGGAATCACTTAATCCTTGACTCTTTCATTCATATGCATCCAATTTATCATATTTCAAAGAAATAATCTTACATTAAGCTACGAGAGTTAAATGATAAGTAGGAATCGATGTACTCAAGATCGTTTATATGCTTTAGAAGAGAGTTAGATAGCCCAAAGTTAAATAAAGGTAAGATTATCCGGTCCAAAGTGAACATTAGTTAAAGGGGAAAAATATTTACTTTCAAAAAAATTGATGGTACACGTGAAAATAATACACTTCTCGGAAAGAGATCGAGTTTACTTTAGTTCCACCAAACAATTTGCTTATTCCCGTTCTTGTCTGGCAAAAATAACATCCTCGCAAAAAAGAAAAAGTTCAGGCGGCAATCCTCCCAGCAGCAAGGGAAACTACCATGGCAAACGAACCAAAAAACAAGATGTCAACGATCAAAGTGACTTTATATGAGATCAATGTAACAACAAGAAGGCAAATACTGAATGATTTTCTTTGAAATGGAGCGTTGCCAAATTTCTGGAAGCTGAACCATCCTGTTCGAGCAGCCAGTACTGTACAAGTCATACAACAAAGCGTTCATTGAGTCTGTTAGACTGAATATCCATCCGCACCACCTCGGCTAAACTTCAATAAGAGGAAATGCGATGTAATAAAGCTACAGGTACGAAAAAATTAGCCTCTCAAGTCTGAACCAATCACGGTAACTACTGATCTCGGGGATATTCTACCAGGTTGCTCGCTTGTAAGTGCACTTGCAACCACACCTATAGAGCCCAATGGCTGCTGCCCTTAGTTCTTCTGTGGGGGTGACTTTGGCCTGAGGCCCTCAATCTCAGGTGTCGTCACAACTAGATGGGGAGCCTCCGGAGGAGGATTTCGTCCACCGCCTCCCTGCCATACTTTCCCATCCTTGTCTGCAAAGTTCTTGATATAAGCCTGCAGGAAAGAATGTGAAAAAAAAAATCACCATATGAGGAACTCATGAAAACTCCTTGCTCGGGTACACACGCATAAAGTTGGGCTTTCAGCTTTCTTTACCTCTTTGTTGAAGTTGGAATACGATAAACCTTTCCCGAGAGTAAGCCAACCAGGACGAATGTTATGATCCTCTCCAAAGAGTTCAAGGCGCCTCTTTCCAAGAGCGAAATGCTCAATTATTCTGTACATGTCTTCAGGCTTTTTAGTTGAGCCTGTATGATCAGGCAAACAGTTCCAGGCATCAGTACACAAATTTCATTTGTTGCTAACCATACTCAACCAAAACAGTATGCTTAGGAATATGCACTATTCAAAAGTAGCTATACTCTAAAATACAGAAACGTGGAGAATTAAATCCCCAAGCTGCATTCTAGAGAATCAACAGATGAGAACATATCTGTACAATAAAATTGGAAGAAAATTCAAAATTTGTTCTGTACATAAACAAACGAACGACTAGCAAAACCAACAGGAGAAAAGTTCATCTGCTAAGTGGTGTTGTGGAAGGCAACAAAATCATGCATAACAAATAGTAGATAGCATAACAATTTAGTGACAGTGCCGGTAAAATATGAACTTACATATGAAAGGACAATACCATAATTATTCATAAAGATGTGCCATACTGACATTCTCAACAAAAATAATGGCGTAGACTGTACACGTAAAGCCTTGTGCCACAAAGCAATTCAGTACACAAAGCATATATGAAGAATAAGAATATCGAAATAGAACATAAGAAACAATACCATCGGTTGGTTCTTCAGCTATTATTATATCTGTGTCAATATTAGCGTGGATAACATGTCCATCAGTGCTACGTCGCACTGTTCCTTTAATACCCATCAAGCAATGCTCCTGGATAAATAAAAGAGTGAAACTTCACAAGCAAGATAAAGAAAAAATGAGGTAAAAACAGAAGATAGATGTTCTGGAGCATAAAGTATTGAAGTCAAGTATAACACTACCTTTGAGTGTTGCAGTATTGTATGAGAGTCATGCCGCAGACTGGGTGTTGCATTTTTCTTGTTGGTTTTTACCCAGCAAACATCCTCACATCTACGAAATCCCCACTGGACAAAGACAAGCTTCAGTCAGGATCCATTTCATCCATGAGTTGATTTTTTTTATTAAAAAAGCTACGTGCAATCATTTACAGGTCTTGAATTAACGGATATCCAAGCTTACAGAAGCCTGGATGGCCTTACTATAAAGAATAATTGCACAACTATTAAAATCCACCTCACCTTCTTTAAGCATTGACGGCCCTGCTCAAGACCTACACCATCACCAACCCAAAGGAAGACAAAAGATGGAGTATCTGCTATAGCCTGTATGATCGTAAAATGCACTGAAGCACATTAATTGTATGCATAAATTGAACACCAAAAGAAGACTTCAGATCCAAAACCGAAAGAATGAAACAACTAAACAAAGAGAGCAACCTCAATCTTTAAATTCATAATCTCCTCAGCATTCCAATACTCTATGTGATCTGTGATTCCTGGTGCCCGGTGAACATACTCCTCCCATGGAGGATCCACAAGAATAACATCAAACTTTGTACCAAAAAATTCTGGAGAAAGAACATGTTGCCTCAGATCACACTTATAATACATTGGTGGTGAAGCAGAATTGGCAACAATTTCATCTTTCCTCTGGATGAGTTCTCTCAATTTTGGATAGTCCTCTGCTACACTTGTAAGATCCAGTTCTCTAATGAAATTTTGAGGTCGCATGCCAGTGTCCACAAAGTTCTGTGAGTAATCATTCTGCTCACCCCTTGAAGGAGCTTTTCTGGTTGGTCCACTGTTTCTATGTGGCGTCCAACCACCACCAGCAGGCGGTTTATCATGTGCCATTTCACGACTTTGCGTGCCCAATTGATGGAAACTCAATCCAGACACATTTGTCGGAGCACCTATTCCAGAGCCGATTTGGTTTAGGTGAATATTATGACCAGGCCCAGCTCCCATACTTGGAGCGAATCTATGTTCAGCAGCAACTGGAGGGATGGGAAGATTGGGTGGAACAGAAAGCATATTCACATCAACACCTCGTGCCCCAGGCCACACAAGAGGCCCAGGGAATGGCGGCACAAAAACACCAGGTAGAAGAGGGCCTGGAGAGTGGGGAATATTTGGCCCAATATGTTGCATTGGTCCTGGTGGCAGACCAAGAGGACCAAAAGGAGGGGGCATAATTGGTAATGTGCCTCCAACTCTTTGAGAATCCCTGCTATTTGGTCTACCTCTTCCTCTTGAGGATCTATCACCTTTAGGACCATGTTGAGGAAATTGAGAAATCGTGCTGGTACTACCACTTTGATCTGCTTCAGGATTGGCGGATTTATCACCATTCGTTCCAGGTGTTGCATCCCGATGAGCTCCCACATCATATCTTCTTCCAGAAACAGAGCCCTCTCGTCCAAAATCAAGATTGTTATTTGGTCGGATCTCTATTGAATCAGAACTGTCATACCGACCTCCATAGGTTGAAGAACCTCTAATACTTTCAGATCTACCCCTAGAATCTCGCCGGTAACCAGCTCGCCCATGGAAACTCCCACCATCTAGTCTTTCATGTGCATTCTTCCATTCAGAATCATTTGCCTCCTTAGAATCTTGCCACTGACGATTCCTCACATAGTCCTTAGATCCTTCAGGCTCCCGTGTTCTGTCGCTCCAGTTTCTGTCCCTTCCGCTGTCTAATTTGTCATCTCTCAGGACATCCACCCTTGAGTTATCTCCCGTACCATTCCTTCTTTCACTATCCAAGTCTATCTGGCGTTGAGCATAGTCACTTTTTGCAACTCCATCATGCAAAATATCTTTTATCTCTACAGATTTATCCTGCCGATCATCTCTTAACACATGCAATTCAGTTTCATGACAACTATCCACTGATCTGCTATTGTCAACAACAATTTCCCCCATGGTCAAACCCTTCCTCTTATTGCTATCACACATTTCCTCCTTGCAATCAGTCTCAGAGCCATATGCTCTTGATGAGTCCCAATCATTCTTGGCATCTCTTTCCTTGTTCCTATCAGAGTCCTTATCCTTGGAATCAGGACTTCTCCTTGGAATTTTTGGTGATCGTGAGTCCATTCTCAAATGATAGTCAGCCAACTGCAAGAACATAAATATTGTTATCCCTCCTCCGAAGAATACAACTGATCTCAGAAACCTTTGGCTAAACTTCAGGTTTCACAGCATAAATCCGAATAATACAACTGATCTCAGAAACCATTGGCTAAACTTCAGGTTTCACTACACAAATCTGAATAATACAGCTGATCTCAGAAACCATTGGCTAAAAACTTCAGGTTTCACTACATAAAAGAATGGTAAAATATATTATACTTGCAGCACATAATAGCATTACAGAATTCGTACCACACAAGTGAGCTTGCGTTAAATATGTAAACAACTAATTGAAACAAGGTCTTCGATACAAAGGAAGGATGTCGGAACATTTTTTTCATGGAAACAAGGCTTACTTTCAAACCCCAAAAGATAATATACTGTGGTATAGTAGTACACATCTACTACGTTCCTCTTTAACAATGGGGCTGGGTAATATACAACAGTGCATACATGTCAAATAAGGTGCAAAACTGGAGCAAGATTTAAATTAAGGTGGTGTTTGGTAAGAGTCTGAAACCGCAAACAGTAATGAAAGGAAGAAATTGTTTGGTTATCATTTCCTTTACTGTGTTTGGAAGGAATGCATTGTTTGGTTACCATTTCCTTTACTATGTTTGGAAGGAATTCATGTAAATTTTGGGCATGAAGGTGATGCGCATGCACAGTTTCAAGTTTGGCTGTACAAACATGTAGATACGCATGAACAGAAAATTTGAAGGAAAAAAAACATCAACAGAGAGAGAAGAAATTACTCGGATTTCTACCCTGAAATTCTTTACAAGAACATGAAATCACCCAGTAAAAAAATTAACGATTACTAATAGCAAGGAACCTGCGGGATCCGTCAGGGAGGAACTCAGGGAAGGCGGCGGCGCGCGCTGGCTGGGAGAGGGGAAGGCGGCGGAGCAGCGCGGCGCCGGCCTTGCCGAGGGGGTGGCCAAGCTCCAAGCCGAGGCGGCGGCGGACGGCCCACCTCACACCCCGCTAGCCGAAACCCTAGCAGAACCTCCGGCGACGGACTGTTTATATGGTAGTAGTACTATTCAACACGGACAAGGGCGTAGGCTGCCGCGGCGGCGGCGGCGCACCACAGCGCGCTCTCCGCCGACGACGCCTCGCGCGACTTCCCCGCGAGGGGCGGGGAGAGCAGCGGCGGCGGCGGAGCGCGGCGGAGCGCGGCGGAGGCGCTCGACGCTCCTGGAATCGATCGGTCGGTCGATTTGGGCTAAGCCACGCCGCGCTCACGCCGTGCCTGTAAGCTTTCAATTGGGCCGTATATTCATTCTAGTAATGGATACGGCCCAGCCCGGTATCAGATTTCAATTGGGTCGGAATATGATTGCGGGCTATCTGATACGTCCCACTAGAAACAAGCACGTGTATATCATCGGAAAAAGTATAGTTGGACTCCCTCAACTATGGTCCGAGTATGATTCATAACCTCCAACCACAAAACAAAACCAGGTATATTGACTCCCCCAACTATTAAAACCGATGCAAACTATATCCCATCCCTGGGTGGTTTTGGAAGAGGTTTTGGTTGACGTGGCGCCTATATGACGGTGTTGACTCGGTCTTCGTCCCACGTGTCGTCGACGTGTCGCTTATCTGGCACAAAAGTAATAAAAAAATTGTGGGACCGACGTGTCATTAAAAAAAAGAAATAGTGGGACCCACGGACATGTGGGCCCTACATGTCATCCTCACCTCTTCCCCCACTCTCTCTCATCTTTTACACTGCTCTCACCTTCCAACACTAGAGGCAGGGCGGCGGCGACGGCGACGGTGCACGTACGGGGGAGGAGCTCGCCGGCCGTCCACGCGCGGGGGAGGAGCCCACCGGCAGTCCCGCGAGGTTGCCGGCCATCCATGCGCAGGGGGAGGAGCTCGCCGGCGTCCTCTCGTGGGAAAGGAGCTCGCCGGCCGTCCGCCTACTATGTGAGGAGCTCACCGGCGTCCGCGCGTGAGGGAAGACTCGCCGGCCGTCCGCCTGCCGGGTGAGGAGCTCACCGGTCATCCACGCGCGGGGGAGGAGCCTGCTGGCCGTCCCGCGAGCTCGCCGGCGTCCGTGCGCGGTGGAGGAGCTCGCCTGCCGTCCGCCTGCGGGGGACGAGCTCACCTGCCGTCCGCGCGCCGGGGAGGAGCTCTCCGGCGTTCGCGGATGGGGGAGGAGCTCGCCTGCCGTCCGCGCGCCAGGGGAGGAGCTCGCCGGCGTCCGTGCGTGAGGGTGGAGCTCGCCGGTCGTCCACCTACCGGGGGAGGAGCTAGCCGTGCTTTAATTTGGGCATATGTATATATCGATCGATCGATGCATATGCATGCTTGCATATGCTTTCACTGTTCCGGATATGTTTTTAGATAAGCTAAGGCTGTGTTCTTTCCTGAGTGATCTGGGTGATTGTGAGTGAGTTTTGTTCGTTTTCCGCGCGCACGTTTCCCGAACTACTAAACGGTGCGTTTTTTAAAAAAAATTATGTAGGAAAGTTGCTTTAAAAAATTATATTAATCTATTTTTGAAGTTTAAAATACTTAATAGTCAATTAATCATGTGCTAATGGCTCATCTCGTTTTGCGTATCTTCCCAATCTTCTTTATCTCCTCTCCTCAAACACAGCCTAAGTAGCTCTTCGGCCGTCCACGCACTGCCGCCTTCTTCCTCCTCCGGCTTCGGGGAGGAGCTCGTGCTTTCGCTGGCCATCGTCGGTTCGTCACCTCTCCCCTTCGTGTTTCGTGCTTCTTCCGGCTGATGGAAGGTGAGAGAGGAAAAAATGAGAGAGAGAGGGAGAGGTGAGGATGAAATGTGGGGTCCAGATGTCGGTGGGTTACACTATTTTTTTGTGTGAATGACATGTCGGTCCCACAATTTTTTTTCTCTAATGCCACATAAGCAATACATCGACAACACGTGGGATCAAGACTGGGTCAACACCGCCATGTGGGCACCATGTTAGCTAAAACCGCTTCCAAAACAACCTAGGGGTAGAGTTTGCACGGTTTTGATAGTTGGAGGAATCAATATACCCGGTTTTATGGTTGGAGGTCATGAATCATACTCGGGTTACAGGTGAGGGAGTCAAAGTATACTTTAATGGCCTAACGTTCGGACGTGACTACAGGTCGGACCCTATCTATATTTTATATCACTTAAAATAAAAAATAATTTAACCATATATAACACTAAAAAAAACTACTAATTGCAACATCAAGAAACCATCGATGTGACAGAGGGCTCCGATTGAACAAAATAAAACACATGAACACAATCAAAATGTAACAAAGATAAATATGGATTGAAAAAAAAATATCGTTAAAAATATATGTGTAAAAAGACAACCGATTTAGATCGGACTTCTTCCTTTACTTCGGTGACCAAATCTCAGCGAGTGCCTTAGAGCATCTTCAACATAATGGCTATTTTTGACTCTCCAAATACCTATTGGCTAGCCTGGTACAAATTTAGAGAGTCAAATTTGTTTTCTATTCCAACAGAATCTTCACATTCCACTCTCTATTAACCAATGGACCCCGCCTATCATTCTCCTCCTCTTTCTTCTTCCTCCCCCTCTCTCCAATCCTCTGCTCGTGCCAGGCGACGGCGAAAGTGAGGAAAGCAAGGTGACGGCGCGGCCAACGATGACGCGGACGACGGTGGAGGTCACGGACGGCAGCGACGGTTGCGGCGGGCAACGGCGCGGCCAGCGATGGCGCGGCCGGCGACGGCGTGGATAACGGCGACGCCGCGGAGACGGTGGCGAAGGCGTCGAGCTGCCCCGCCGCCACTCCCTCCCTCCCTCGCCGCACTAGGAGGCCGACAACAGCGGCGTTGTGCCAGCAGATCGAGGACGGTAGCATGGGCGTGCAGATCAGGACGAGAAGGAGCCGCTGCGAGGAAAGGGAGACGGCGGCGCGGACGACGGCGGCGGTTGCGGCGGGAGACGTCGGCACTGGGGGCCATGCGAGTGAGAAAGCCGGAATGTGTGTGTGGGGCTCACAGATGGCCAGTGATTTTTGGCTTGCCAAATTTAGCTAGTGGAGGGAGGGTTTTGGCCAACCGGATGGTTTAGCCATTCGGTTGGAGAGGTTGTTGGAGCATGTTTTTTCGCTGGAATGGCTAAAATTTAGCTTTGAGAGTCATTTGAAGAGGTTGTTGGAGATGCTCTTACTAGCGAATTAATGCAGGAGGCGAGCTAGGATGATGAGGCCCTTGAGCTGGTTGGGAGAGAGAAGATGGTGGGCAGGCTTGGTGAGCTCCTCGGCGGACAAGGGGCAACACTGAAGAATCGGCTGTGTGTGTAGTCATCGGAGTCACAACACAACACTAGTGTGTTGGACTTGGACTTGGACGGTGGAGAGCGAGGTAGGCAGCCATGGCGGAGAGTGGCTATGCCGGACGGAGGGTAGGCTAAACTTGGTGATTTCCAGTGCCGGTGAAAGCGTGGTGATGGTGAGCGCTTGTTTGCTAGTCTTAGGTGTTTCTCATTTGCTTTAATTAGATGATACCCCGCGCGTTGCTGCGGGATTTTATAGAAATAATTTGGATGAAATTCGTATGGATAATGTTTTAAGAGAAGATAATATGCTACATGTAAAATAAACTAATTCCATAGGTAGAGAGAAAAAGAGAGAATCGATATAGCAAACTTAAATACTCGCTACAAAATGTTTCAACAGTACGTACACACTCGTAATCTAGTACAACAATTAAATATCTCTGCTTAATAAAGGGAAATGTTAAATCCTTGTGTATATTTCGTTCACTCGCTTATTGCTTACTATTCCTCTCTCCTGCTTCATGTTAGGTTGGAGTCTACTGCACGCCTCCTTAAATCCAGTGTTTGATTTGGGGTAAGTGAAATTCCGATCTTTTAATTCAGTGAAACCTAACAGTCCCCAAAAAATTTGTTGTCAAAGGATCTTGTTGTCAAAGGATCAAGAAAAAAATTGGACAACAACAAAAAGATACAAGCTCATATACACACTCACACACTTATCCCTATAAAGGCACATATGCACACTCTAACTCTACGAGGCACCTCCGAGAGATAGGGCCAGCATATTTTTAATATTTAGTTGGTCACCGAAGGATGTTTTGTTCTTTGACGGGTACATCACCTACAACTGAAAAACAATTAGCCATTCATGCTCGTACATGTTTTTTTGTTATGACAGAATTAGAGTAAAGCACGTAATAACAAATTACACTTAGCTACTGAAATGTGCCAAGGAATTCGATCAGACCAAACAACTCTAAGTCCTATAAAATCATGCCCACAGAAAAGTACAAACAATTTTGAAGGACCAATTCCAGACACATCTTAGACCCCTAGAAATTGGTTTTGTCAAATCGTTCATGAAATGCTAATATGATTTTACAAAAGGCTCACCTTTATCATGTTTGTTCCACCATAAACTTTAATTTCTCGGAGCTGTTTTAGTGACTTGCACACATGAAACAGGAAGCACCAAAAACAAAAGATTTATTTGACTCAATATGATTCAAAACAAAGAGATGAGCATGTATATGTTATCTAACCATGTAAAACTTAAAGATTAGTGTGAAAATTCAGCAACCAACAACTTTACTTGGCCATTAGTTATAAACAAAACTTCAAGTTGAAATTAGCATTGCCTGACAGCAATTGCAATCTGCACTAAGCAACCCAAACTTGTGAACAGGGGGTCAACAAACCTAGAGCAGCTTATTTAGAAAAAAAATAGTGATTTAGATTTCACCATGCTCCTAAGTCGTAACCATCAAATCTCTGAAACTATCAGATATGTACCTGAATTCATTCCCTTCGCACATAGCCCAAATACATATCCATAAACCATTAACCATTAATCATTATTGGATCAATAAAAATTGGGGGTTAACTATTTTCAGCAATATAATATATATGTATGTAAGCAAAAAGGTGATGCAGAAGTAACGGAAGAAACACAGTGGGAGTGGACCAACCTTGATACTGAAGAAGAAGCAATGTGCAGGATATGGTACGGTAACCAAAATTCCCAATGTGAACGCTGCATCAAGAAAAAGAAAATTACAATAGCAGCCTCAACATATGCAACTGCGAAGAATAAACAGCAAGACATTCTCACACTCGCATGATCCGAATATCTGTTTATGGTTTTGAGAGCCAGATTTAACTTGCCTGTTGTGAATATGAGAGGAGTGGAATTCAAAGGGAGACCATGACGGATGTAGAACCGGAGAGGCCGGCCGTTTTATACACGGCCATGAGTAGGCGATGCGACAATCTTGAGTAAAATTGTTGTAGTGAGTAGAGCACATGACTTGTATTAACCCCTGCGCCTCCTCACCCAATTAATTTGGCGGTTTTTATTGTAAATGCGGGTGATTAAGGGAGGAAGTGAATACCGTCTCTAATGCTGAAAAGGATGAGGGAGAGGGCGTTTGAAGCCGGCATGGTGCTAGGGCTCTTCAAACGCGCGATACCTGCAGCCATGCCAGGCTAGGGCTACAGGGGCGCGGCGCTGCGGTGTAGCTGGCGCGTGGGGGACGGCAGAGGCAATGCGACACTGGGAGGAGAAGCGCGCCGGGGGAAGCAGCGCGCCGGGGGAGGGGAATCGACCACACCGCATCTTGCTCGCGTGCACGGGGGCAGAGGAGAAGCGAGCGCAGTGGGCGAGGGGAACCCGCATCTGCGGCAGGCCCACAGTGCAGCTCGCGCGGGCGCATGCGGGGCGGAAAAGGAGCGCGCATCTGGCGGCGGCTGAGAAAGGAGAAGACCGAGCGCCCAGATTAGATCACAGTTTAGATTGAATGGCTGAGATTTTACAGGTGACGTGGCTTAACCACAAATCAGCTTTGGGTCTTAATTATATAGAAAGAAGGGATGCCCTACTTCTTTAAATATTTTTTACCGTAAGGCTAGAAATTTGGAGGATTAGATTATAAAAGATGTTATTCGATGTTGGACAAAAAGTTTCACCAATTAATGGATTTCTCTTTATATTTATTCAGCAGACCATACAAAGTTCGTATCATCGATATGTTATCCTGAATAGCAGAAGATTTCCTTGATGATATTATGCATCACTATTACTTTAGATAGACTAGCAATATGCTCGTCTATAGCAACTGACATTGATTTATCAACTTATATGCCCATATAACTGGATTGGCTCGGAGTGTGGATATTGAAACCATATATTATTCAACTTGTTTTCGGGTTTTAAGGAGGGTGATTACACTCACGAAAGAGAAGCCTACTCTGCGGAGGGAAAGGAACAAAAAGACTT